TAGCTTTCGGGGCTTATTTCAGGCAGGTGAATGAAGTCCGCTCATTTGCAGAAGTTGCCAATTTAGGCGAAAGAGAGCGGAGGTACTCGTGCGAGCGGCGTTTGCCCTGGGCGGTCTCGGAAGCGGCTTTGCGAACAACGAGGCCATGCTTTCTGCTTGACTGGACTTGCTGAGCGGCATATTTCGGACACTGGTTCATTTCACGGCCACGATCGACCGACGCTTGTTTTGGAAGATCTTCAGCGGCACGTGTCCAATCGCTTCCCCTAAGGCTAGCAATGGTAAAAATAGTCGCAATGAATATCGATACATTGTGTTTGGGGGAAACCCAGTTTACCAACCAAACGTCGTGAATTCAATTGAAGTTGCTCAAGCATTTTTTGGACCCACAGATGTGAGGCCCGCTCCGCTCCTGCCGCAAATATACTCAGACAATTTGTTTGGTACTGCCCAGCTTTGACAGGTTTAGTGTGAAGTTGGCCAGTTTTCCGGTCCTGGACACATTTTTTTTTTTAATCGATTGCTTGCATGGATTCGAATGTCGGGTGGGTTGGATGCGGACGGCGAGAGTTGCGCAGGAAGAGCTGGAGGTGCTGCTCACACGGGCCTTCGCCACCTCCTCGCAGGCCTGGAAGCTGCAATTCGTGCAGCATCGGCATGGGGTCCCAAAATGGGTGGGTTTTGGTTTGCTTCTTGGCTTTTTCCCCTTTGGGTGGGTTTTGAATTGTTCACTTTCCCTTTAAGGCCACTAAAAGGTACCGCTCGAGCTTCTTGGTTTCCCCTTTGGGTGGGTTTTGATTCTGTTGGTTTCCCTTGAAGGCTACAAAAAAGTGGTACCCCTCGGAAAAAAAAGATACCCATATTATGGGTGTATATATATATATATATACATATGGGCGCTGAGTTGGTGTCCATGGTGATAGGGACGATGCCAAAAGTTGAACCGATCTTGACCCTCAGTGGTGCAACCAGGCCCCTCCTCCAGAAAGGCTCTTGATTGCCGAGGTAGCAAGCGCATGCATTTCTTTCTCCCAGATCGTGCTTTCTCCGGAAGTAGCTTGTGCATAAATCTTGCTCGGGCAGGTGATCATTGACGAGTGCCTGAAAGGGTGGAAGGAGCTCGAGTACGAAGTGGTGCCATTGGCTCAGACCAGACTTTAAACAACTTTCCACCGGAAAAGCCTTGCTCAGACTGCATGGTCAAGCTGTCGGCCGTACGCAGGAATTCGCCAGAATTTGCACGGCCATTTGTTTTTCTTTCTTTTTTTTCTTCTTCTTCTTCTTCTTTTCATTTTTCTCCTTTTTTCCTCTTCTTTTTTTCCGGTGTTTTCCCCCCCCCCCTTTTCCGACATCTGCAGGCGAGACTCGAAGGACAACTGCCTGGTGGTGTGCAACATGGAAAACCTGGACCCCATGGGGGTCCACACGGGCGAGTCCATCGTGGTGGCGCCCTCCCAGACTCTGAACAACGCCGAGTATCACCACCTGAGAGCCGTGGCCATCAAGGCGCCAGACGGAGCACTGGATGAAATTGATGTGGCTCAATTTTTTTTAGAGCCAGGGCTACGCATGTTGGCCTCTTTTTGAGCCACAGCCAAATGGCGGTGGTGGTCAAAACCGTTGTGGTTGATCCCATTTTGGTTGGGTTTTCAGTGAATTCACCACATCCATTTTAGGCTTCCTATTTTAGTGGTTGGATTGGTTGACGTTCACTGGGGGTACGATTTGGGTTTTGACCCACAGCCAAATCATGTCCCAGATTGACACGGGGCCACCCCCAGAAGAAAACATCGTCCTTTTTGGGAGGAGTCGGTTTTTGGGGGGGACACGTCCTTGTGGGCTTCCATGTTGAGAGTAGCCTACTGAAGGAGACATTTACCACACAAACTCAGGGGGTTCTAGCCCATATCGTGCGTCAGTTTTGGAGGGTTACCTGATTTTGAGGGGAAGGAACCACTTCTTTCCCCAATAGCTGAAAGCCATGCAGACAGACTCCAAGGCTTTTGGGGGCCTTCCTCCACTCCACTTGCGAATTTGGTGCTTTTCCATCAGGCACATTCATATGGGTGTGTCTTTTTTCAGGGGACCCCCAAAATGGCGTTTTGCTCTTGGTTTCCATTTTCAAACAACCAAAAAAGGGGTACCCTCAAAAGAAAGACAGACATTCATACATTCATACTGTCCAGGGTCATGTACTCGATTCATTGGCTTCCCGCTGGAGGTGATTCGCCACTTCGGCATTGTGGGCGAGGCAAACATCCAGTACGCTCTTGACCCGCACTCCAGCCGTTCTCCTGGCATGTTGATCCGGCAATTGGCTCCCAGGAGACTCTGTCCCTCCCCCCCCCAAATTTTTAGGGTGGGTTTCCTTTTGGTGGTCTTTTCACACCACAACTTCGAAAGCTCCATGTCGCAGCCCGCCAGGCTACCGCATCGTGGAGGTGAACGCTCGGCTGTCCCGCAGCAGTGCCCTGGCATCCAAGGCCTGGGCTTCGAGGGGTCGCGGGGTTGCGATGAAAAGCACCAGAGAACACCAGGGGTTCCCGATTTTGGACGGCGTTTTTTTTTTTCTCCTTGGGTGGATGCCGTGGGGGTGGTCCACAAAAAAATGAGTGGGGTTCCTTTTTTTTTTGGGACCCTGCTTAGAGGGAGGAGTATAGGTTCCTTTTAAGACGCTGGTGCCAACTACCTGGCGCCTTGTGCCGCTTACCAATCGAGTGCTTTTTTTTTGACCACCCGCATGGTGGATGGGTGTTCTTCCGAGTGCCGATTTCGGGGTTGCTTCAAAGGATTGACAATATATGTTCCCTTTTGGCCGCTGGTGCCAACTACCGTTCCATTTTGGGGTGGGTCCCGCCCAAAGAAATCGGCCCGTGAACCACAGTACCCAAGGTGCAGTTGTCGATTGACAACCGCCACCATGTTTTGCTTCAACCCCGCCATGGTCAAACTGTTTGTGTTTTTCCTGCCACCATGAACGCGTTTTGCGTGCAGCCATGAACCATCTTGGCCGTTCAGGTTATGCCATCTCCATTGCCACGTTCTGATTGACTCCACTAGTACCTTACAAGGGTCCAATAGCCGAAATCGCAAGGAAGCAAACCTGGCGCTTAGCAGGCAAGACGCCAAACCCAAAAAACATTCCACCGTTGAACTCAGTGGCGGTGTCCGGTCTTGCAATTCAGTGCGCTTGTCATAGAGCACGCGGGATTGGGCATAGGACGCGCGGGGGCCAGGGGTTGTGTGCTGTGAGCGCGCGCAGTCCTGAAAGCGCTTGAACGCGCCCGCCGTTTTTCAGTCCGTAGGCCTAAAGAAAAGACACACCCACATGTTGGGCTCCTGAAAACACACGCCAAGAGAAACTCGGGCAGTATGAGGGTTCTCTATGTGGAAGCGAAGCCACCAGGCCTTGCCGGCGAGCGACAACAAACCCATGCGAGCAGGTCGTACGGGTACTGCCAAGTTGGGCGCCCTGCAAATGCTTTGGGCCCTTGGGTTTTTTTGTGAACACACAGTGTCTTTTTCATGGCGGCTTTGGGGACGTGGGCAATCCACTTCTGCATATTGCGAGGCGACGGGATATCCGTTGGCCTACGTGGCTGCCAAGTTGGCCTTGGGTCGGGAGCTCGGGGGTCAGGCCTCCTGAGAGGTCGAAGGTAGGTTCGCCGTGCCTTATTTGTCAACACCGTTTTGGGATCCCATTTTGGGGTAGGTGCACCACCCAGTTTAGTTGATTTTAGTGGGGATTGGGATGTTTAGTGGGGGTACGGGATTTTGACCCATGGCCATTTCAACATAGGTGAGGGAGAGAGGCCACGTGTTTTTTGGAAAAATGCTGAGCCACCTTGTAAAGCTTGAGCAACTTGCCCAACGAGGGGTGGCTCCGTATTGTACATGTTACCCCGACGTTGGGACTCCAGCGAGACGCCTCATCGGGATGGATGCAGTTCTTGATCAAGTCGTAGCCGGAGGCCACGATTTGGTGAGCCTCCGGAACATGGTGACGCGGTCCACCACCGCGTGCTTCGAGCCCTCCCTGGACTACTGCGTCGTCAAGGCGCGGCGAGCGCGGGGTTCTTTCGGAAGCGCAGAGGGAAATTTGTGCAGAACCATTTGTTCACCCCCAGATGCAGTTTGGTTTGGACTAGGGTTTTGTGGGGATTTTCCATTTAACCCGCTAAAAGTTGAACTGTTAGCAGGGGATCTGAAAACGAACAGCCCAGCTTTGTTCCGCCGTGCAATGCAGCGCTTCGCTTGGCTTGCTCAGATCCCTCGCTGGGACATCGACAAGTTCCCTACGGTGGAGCGAACTTTGGGCACTCAGATGAAGTCCGTGGGCGAGGCGAAGCGCTGGGATGCTAACCGAACCCCCCCCCTAGTCGCCAGAACCACCTTGAGAACCCGAAATGAACACTTTCTAAGATTGTGCCAAGAACCTTTCTTGTATTCAAAGACAGCGAAAGGGTGTAGACTTTCCACTCAGACTCCAGGTGATGTCCATTGCGCGATCCTTCCCCGAAGCGATCCAGAAGGCACAAATGGCTGGGAACGTGGCGGCATTGGGCAAGTGAGATGCAGAAGCGATCCTGACGGTCTTCATCGGAATGGGCATGATTTGTGGGACTCGCCCCCCCAAACAAAGAAAAGTTGCGGTGATCCTTTGGGCTTTCCTTTGAAACCCAAAAAGGCGGTCGCCTCAAAGCAAGACACACCCATGACTTGATTCACTCGGCAGTGCAGGCCCTGCGGATGGTCAACGAGGGCTCCGTTGGCTTCGATGAGAGCTGGCCCGCTTCCCAGAGTTCGTCCGCCAGGTCGATGTTCGACTTGTTTATTTCGAGAGGGGGGGGGGAGGGCGGACATGCCTTTCCTTTTTTTGGGATGGGAGGCGCATGCAGCAGTGCTCCGTTTTTCTTTTTTCTTATTCTCGGACGGAAGGATGGCGTTGGTTGAAAGCAAGTTCCATGGACCCAACTTGGGACTGTCTCGCAAGGACGGCCAGAAGGGCCCCCCCAACTTGAAAAGGCGTCTCCTTGACTCCCAAACCCCGGCCCCAGCGCCGCAGCTCTCCCCCGCGATCCGGTTCCGGCCCGAGGTATCTCCGCGCCCGCTCCGGGGCTGCGGTGTCCAAGGATGGCAACATCGAGGAGGAGCTGAATAAGCCCGGGCCGCCGGGTGACCCAGAGCTGGGCGTGGCTCAAAATGAAGCCAGGAAACCGCGAAGGTCTTGGTCATTTCAAGTTTCCATTTATGTTGGGTTCCATTTAGGGTGCCTATATTTTGACCCAGAACCACAGGGGGACAGAGGATGTGCCCTACGTTTTCTTTTTTTGTTGGGTTGACGTACGCTCCCACCGGTTTTTGCCATGGAGCCGTACGCTCCGTCCGGGACCCGGCCCCCTGTAAGGAGAAGGATCCAAGCCAGGACCTCCCAGGTCTGGTGACATGTTAATTGGTGGGGTAGGGATTGCTACTGTGGATGGTTGCGAAATCTTCTTAGGCACCAGCAAAAGAAACCTAAAAATGATGCCAACCCCCCGTAAATACCAAACATTTTTGGTGTGTCATGGTTTCCTAGGTGGTACGAAATGGATTTTGTCCATCCACAGTATGTCACTCCCATGTGGGAAGATTCCAACCACGTGATTCGCCTTTTGCTTCCCTTGAGCAAACCCGAAAAGGGTACCGTCAAAAAACACGGACACACACAAGCACACACACACACACCCATTTGTCCTTTCCAAGTTGCTAGTGTTAAAACCGCCCGAAAGACTGGAGATGTTCATTAACTTGTTTGTGTTTGGTGAAGGCCAGCATGTTGAGTGCTCAACCCAGCGCACACTGAAAAAAATCGAGAGGTTGATTCGCCATTGCGAATCAACCTCGTTTCCAAGGTCCAGCGCTCGCAGATTGTTGGCTGTTTTTTTTCCAGTAAAGGATCCCTGGCACGAACAGGGAATGCACTCCTAGAACTTCAGGCTGCGTATGTGGGCAATCGCCCATGGATTTGAGAAGGGCCTCAGCGTGGAGAAGGTTGGGGGGGGGGGGGACTGGTTGCTACCGCTGTAACTGGCCGCATGGCTGACCGGCTGACTGGTCATTTGACCCCAGCAAATGGCTGTGGCACAAGAAAATGTACCCAAAAAGGCATCTTGGTATATGGAAACAAAGACCAAAACCCGCGTAACCCGATGTTGAGCCACACCCAAATCAGAAAGTTCTTTTGTATGGTCCTAGCTTCCAGATGCACAGTCTGAACCGCCGATTCATCTGGACCTATCACAGCCGTTGAAGTCATGGTGCATTTAAGCGGTGCTGAGCCACCCAGGATCTTGATGCCAGGATGCATTGAAACCTTCGCCGCCTCAGACATGAAGTTGTTTGGCAGTCGAAGGGTTGTCCAAGAGACATTGACATATTTTTGTTGCAGTGTTTGTTGGTACTCCAATGATATCCACTTGCCATCCTGCAAGCCTCAGAATTTTATGGCTGGTCGCCTGTAAACCTAGCTTTTGTAAGCCTCACAACTCTGGATGGCACGGTTTGGCTACCGCTTTACTGGCGTGTGTTACATGCGTCCTCACAAAGCTCAATGTTATTCGGCAGAAGCGTTCATGGGCAACTTCAGCGAATTTGAGGCAGCTCATGAAGGATACGGCTTATGCAGGATGTTTCTGTGATTGTCAAGCTTTCATCCAGGAGGACGATTTGACATGGTGTGCGTACATCCGCCGTGGCTCTCATTTCGTAGATTTTATAATTGTATATTATGAAATGAGCACAGCAAGTCTGCAATTGTTTATTTTTGATGCAACCTGCCTCTTCATGTACAAAGGCAACGAGGACATTGCCCGCACCGTGCGTCATGTCAACAGAAAACCAACATACTGCTGCAACCTCCTCACCTACACAGGGCTTGACTGCGAACCCGCCTTTGTGCCAGCGGGTCTTGTGCAAAACCAGTCTGTGCTTTGTATTCATGGCTGCCAGATGTACGAACTCACCAAGATCGATCGGTGGTTCCTGGGCAAGCTGTTCTCGGCACGCCTCTGGCGGTTTCCGGGGCTCCGGGCTGGGAGAGAGGTTGGACATTGATTCTCGAAGGCACGAACAAGAGGTCGGAAACCCTTTCGTGACTTCTGTGAGTTCCTTTAGACACAGCCTTTGCAAGGCATGCTTGATCTTGTGATCAATGCGTTTGCGCATGCGCAGGTGCTCATGGCTGTACTCGCAACTGACAATCCAGCTTCGGGGAAATTTCGCAGGGATCGTGGACGTAGCAGATACACCGGAGGCTCCAGTTCATGGATGCTTGCTATGAGTTTGTCTTGCTGCAAGCACTCGACTCCTGTTTCTCCCTTTGGCAGTTGGGGTCTGCATGCCGTTGGTGTTGGCAGGACACGGGCTGGGCTTGTCTGCCAAAATGGGTTGGGGGGGGGGGCAGGTAGTCTCAAGCCATCAAGGGGCAATCCAACACCACACCCAAATGTGGACTTTTTAGTGCATGGCAGAGGGAAGCCAACAGGAAGCCAGCGGTTTTAGGCGAGTCCCCTTCCCACCAACAAAACAGATCAACAAAAACAACTGGCAACGCTTCCACCCCCCTCTTGCTTTTTTTTTTTTTTAACGTTTTATAAATAAATAGAGTCCCCTATTTTGAGAACCCTCTCCCCCCCAAAAAGAAATAAACATGAACCAACGTAAACGACATAACCAATGGGTTGACCCCGCCCAAGCCCCGCCCAAGCCCCGCCCACGCCCCACCCCCGCGCGCAGGTGCACCAGGCCCGGAAGCGCATGGAGTCCCTGGGTAGCCTGGCGAAGCTCTCTGAGGCGGCGTCTTCAGTTTCGGTTTCTCCGGAGCCACGTCCCTCAACCGGGGGGCTGCTTAAAGGGAAGCCACGAGGAAAGCAACAGAGAAAATTGGAGGGGTCCGGAGTCCCCGCCAAAAAAAAAGAAGCGCCCAAAATGAGCCACGTCCTCAAAACCCGTGTAGGTGAAGGCCAGGTGCGGATATCCGCCTTTTTAACTCTTTACATGGTTCTGGGTAGACCATTTTAATGCCAAGTTTTGAATATGACCCGAATTTGGTTTCCCCAATGAGGTGTGGGGGTTTGCAGGGTTCTTTCTCATTTGTTCTGGTAGGGCTGAAAGAACAAAGAATCTTTTGAGTCAAGTTGAAGTGAGTTTGGTGTTGAAAGGGGAAGAAAGAAATCCTGGGACTGCAATTCAGCTGCCCCTCATGAACAAGTCGGATGGCATATCCTGCAACTTGCCTTTTGTGGACCTGTGGCAAGTCTACGAAGGAACCAAAAGGGAAGTTGAGGGTTCAACGGAGTTGGTACCCGGTTCTTTTTGAGAGTGGGACCTTTTGGGAGGTTGGGTTTCCACAAAGCAGGTTTTTCAAACTTACTAGCGTGTCAACTTGGTTCTGCGTCATTTGGCCAGTCTGCTTCAACACCACCTCCAATAAACCTTGATTTGAATCATTGGGGAACTCTGCTTGAACAATCCTGCATCCACTTTGGCATTAATCATCTGAGTACTCTGCTTCAACACTACTGAGCCTTTGATAATTCAGGAGGGCGATTCACGTTTTGAATAAACATTAAGATCCTTGCTTAAACGGGCTTCAACTTGTTTTGACTGGAATTCGTCTTTCAAACTATATTTTGAAGGTGGGGTCCTTTCCGAGTATGGCATGTTCAATCTTTTCATTATAATTTGAATAGCATGTTGGAGGACTGAATTCTAGTATAAATTTCAGTTTTAACTAGAATTTAGATAGCATTTCCTTTTCGAAGACGCTTTCAATCAGATTATCATTATAATTATTGTTCCAAATCGTATTTCACAGCTGACGTCCTTTCCCAGGAGGAGTTGTTCATGCTTGCTTCACGAGAATTAAGTAGACATTAACAAAGAACGAATCTAGTAGAATGGATAATTCTGTTGGAATCGAAATAGGGTCTCCTTTTTAAAGAGGATTCCAAACAACTGTCAATGAGCTGTTATTTAAGATCAAGTTCAAACTTAACAGTGTTTTCATGTTCTTATGCAAACAAATGGAATTACTGTAGTAAGACCAGAGTTCTAGGAACAACTCTAGGTTAAATAGGGTGCCCATTATAAAGAGGACTTCAATTATGTTTTGCATTGGACATCAAAATTCACATGGGAATTCGAAGAGATGTCGTTTCCCATGATTGTATTCATGATTTAAATAGGAACTAGTAAGCAAAGACTCCTAGTATAGGTTCCAGTTTCAATTAGAATTTCAGCATGGTGTTCCTTTTTAAACAGGAGTTCAAGTAGAATTAAATTTAAATTGTTAAACCAAATTGGAATTTAAAGGGAGTTCCCTTCCCAGAAGGATTTGTTCAATCTCTTGATTAGAAATTAGAAGAACATGAATAAGGAACGAATGCCAGCAGACTCTCTAACTTCAATTAAAAATTAAAACAGGCTCCTTGTTACTAAAAAGGATGTCAATTAGATTTCACACAGAATTCATATGTCAAAAAACAATATAGGTGCTTTCCTTTCATAGGATATTCATTTCAGTGTTTCAATTGTAATTTAGATAGAAGAGTCTACTTGATTCCGTTTTTGTTCTTTGGGACAGTCTGAGTTTTTTGGGGGGTCTGAGCTTGCCAGGATTGTTTGTTTTGGACAATCTCGCATTTTGTGAGGCCGACCCCAAAAAAGTGTGGGAACTGTCCCAAAAAGACCAATCCTGGCAAGCCAAGGCCGCAAGAAGCATACTGAGACAATAAGAAAAATCGAGAGCACTGAGAAACGCTAAGAAACACCGCTTTGTTAAAACAAATGAAAAAACAACAAATCCCAGGAGGTCCCTTTGTGTTTTGGTGGTTCAAAAAGGAGACTAAAAGGGAACACCATCATTTTGGAGGGGTCCCATAAAGAAAGGACGAGCGAGCCATATGGTTCCTCATTGAACCCCCTCAGATTTTCGATTTTGGCTCCAGTTTTGGTCACATCGAGTGATCGCAGGCGGGCCCACAGTTCCTCCGGCGGATGAAGCAGCTGGGCTTCTGTGACAGGCGCTGGTTGAGTTGGTCGAGGTCGAGTGGGGCCCGCTCAAGGGATGGTCCCTGCGAAGGTCAGCGAAACCCAATCCTGGTGCGTGTGAAGGTCCAGGAAGCCCAGATATCTGGTGCCTGGCTTTTGGTGCGTCTTTGGTATGATGAGTTAACCCTTCCACGCATGGTGGGTGTGTTTTTGGCCCTTAAAGTGTGTCTGATCTTGCAGGCAGATCGGAAAGGCCATCAAGGACTCGGACACGGCCATCATGAAGCTGCGAGAAGGCTGGCACATCAGGCGCTGGATTGGGGCCATAAATGGTCGCTTCGGTCGTTCTGGAGAGCGCACGTAGAATGACAGGCGAATTGCTGTAGTTGACTGAAAGGTTTTTTCCGGAGATGCTGGAAGCACGCAGGCACTCCAACCGTCAAGCTGACACAAAACGAATGTTAGAGCGGCACTGCGCCGCCTCGCTTTGCTAACATAGTACAGCCTGAAGCAACTAGATGATGGGGTGGCACGGAAGCAAAAGGCAATGATCAAGGGCCTGTGATGGTTGCTACGCATGACGAGGGCTTGGGGCTTGGTATAACAGACTTGATCTTGTTTCGCAGACCTGGTTTAGCCAAAGCAAGCCACTTTGTGTCTTTCGTCCATTCCAACTGCATGCCAGCGCTCTAGTCTTGAAGATATTGGGCTCACTCACTCAAGAACGCACGCAAACGCGTGCAACTCCAAAAGCCTCCACAAGCGACATCATCGCGCCCCTCTCGGTGCCCTTCCACCGCACCCCCGCACCGGACGCCAATGTTGACTGTGTCGGAAAGTTCCGGCGCACAACTATGTTCTCAGCATGGGCGATTGGCATGTGCGCCAATGATTGGGGTACGTTACAACAGTTGCAGGGCTGCTCATTTCCAAGAGGGACCACAAAAGCTTTTGGACCTATATCCAAAGATGCAAATACAAGCGAGGCCCATCATTCGCGCATGGACAAGCATGTGGAAGCAGTGCCAGTGTGCGCGGCGTCGCACGCTGCGAGCGAGCATATTTTGCCGATCTGGGCAAGCTGCAAAACGCACCCCAGTGTTTTGAACATCCAGCACAATCTGCACAGAAGTGGAAGCGAACGCATTTCATGAGCTTTGGCTAGGCCCTGCTACACACCAACATGAATCAAGTTTAAGACTCGCGAGACCGGTGGAAGCAGTTTCCCAGTTTTTGCAACAACAGCGACGCGGGTCTCTGCCGATGGTACGCAGAAGTGACACAGTTTTTTTCCCCCGACTCAAAGCTATGCGTGTTTCTCAGAATGGATTTCGGACCCTCTTTTGGTTTGCATTGAAGGGGAAACCAAGGGGACACATTCAACAATTCTTGACTACTTCGAGGACCCCCTAGAAACTCAGATTTCCTGGTTCGCGTTTTTCACTGTTCTTTGGCCGGCCGGGCCTAGCACTACAATTGACAAGAAAAGACGCCCAACTGCAGCATTTCCGGGCTTCGTACTCGGGGATAGTGCCAGGCCATGTGTGAAGCAGGTGGACACACTGGCCGCGGAGTTCCCGGCGCAGACGTCGCACCTGCCGAGTTCCGTTGGGTTCCTTTGCGGGGCACGATCTTTGGGCTATGCATCAAGGTTGATTTGAGCCACAATCAAAACACGGGTAGATGAAGGTTAGTAAGGGGCAGTCCCAGACAGAAAGAGTGGCGGCCGCCTTCGTAATTCTTGAAGCATGGCTCTGGGATTGCGACCATTTTAATACCGGGTTTTGATTGTGACTCATTTGTCTTGGCATTGAATCACGCTTGCGATGGAGCAAACCATCAAAGCAAAGGGGAGGCAATGCTTGATTGCTATGTGGCCATGGGTCAAAACCTTGCACCCCGAGTGAACAAATCCCAATCCAACCATTAAAATAGGTTCTAAAATGGGTGGTGAATTGGTTTTGACCCACAGCTATGTGAGCTATTTGCAGAGATCATGTTGGGTCTGCTTGAATCGCCCGCCCCTCCCGGACAGTGCCAACAGTCAGCAGGGTCCTCTGAAGTGAACAAATGCGGGGTCTGGGTTCCATTCGACTTCGACTTGCTAGTACTTAATTTGTTATTGCAAATACTCCTTTGTTTTGTTGCCAAGACTTTCTCTCAGATTCCCAGTACTTACTTTCGCATTGCTAATTCTAAACTTGGTATTGCTATGACTTTGATCTTTGAGCCGAGATGAGCTCATGTTGAACCAAAGGTTTTGGCCTGGACATGAAACTGAACCACTCAGATTAAACAGAAGCAAGGCCCGTTGTGAGGTACCCCCTTTGCCTTTTTTGCATCTTTTTCCGGCAAAACAACTTGCTATCAAAGCGAACCTTGAAACAGCCACAGGGTTCTGAATCAGGAAACGCAATGCTACAGTGAACCTGGGAATTGCCAGTCCAGACTGATGCCTTTTCCTGTCCAGACATGGCCCGGCATCCTGTAATGGTTTCCGCCTCAAACCTTCTCTGACAGCATTATTTAAAAAAAAAGCCAAGCCTGCGAGGGCCTTTTGTCATGAGCACTTCACCTGTGCCGCTTTCGCAACTCTTGACATGCCTCAGCGGCTCAAGTAAGTACAACAACTCTTGTTTTGAATGCAGTTGCAAAGTACAACAAAGGTTGCAAAGTACAACAAAGGTTAGATAGGCAAAATACCTGACAGACTTGAGGGACATCGTTACATTTGTTTGGTGATTTGCCCACTGAACCTGTGCATTTAGTATTACTATGCGTTGCATTTGTTATCTGCATGCGCTGCCAGGAACTACTTGTACTTGACCTATGTGGGTGAGCAGAATGATGTCGTTCCACTCCGAAACGAGAAGCTTGCAGCACACAAGGACATCGGCACATACACACGCACACAATTTTTGCAGGCTAGGTCAAGACTGACCAAGGACCTCATTTTTCTAGCGTGAGTCGTTGGAGTTGTTTACACCGGCGTTTGCTGGAGTTTCTCACCTTTGGGGACCCATCTGGGGCATTGACTATTTTTTTTGCCGCGCTTTTTGGATCTTGTGGGTTGCAGGATGCCCTCTACGACACCGCCTTCGGCAAGGGCAAGCTTGAGGAGGATCGATGTGAATCGGGATTCGAAATGCAAACAGAGTCGGGCGGGTTTTTCGTCAAGAAGAACTCTGCAAAACAAGGAGAACTGGCCTTGGGCTATCGAATGAAGACCTCGGCAAACCCAAGGAGAAACTCGCAGCGATACATACCCGCTAGTTGGGGAAGGAGTGTACAGCTTGGATAAGCATCTCCGAGTTTGCAAGCCATATGAATCACTGGCTTAAGGCAAAAGGGGACCCAGAGTGGCTTCTTTCCTGGCAAGTCGTTGGCTTCAACTTCAAAATCGAGCCATGGCCTTGAACCGACAGGATCATTCACTAGCACTGACCTCACTTGAAAGTTATGGCCTTGTTTGCGTGCCTTTTTGGGTGAACCCGTTGAATCCCTTAGTACCCAGAGAAACACTACCTTTTTGATGTCCAAATGTTTGGGTTTGTCTCACAGGGAGCCCCCCCACAATGGATGCTTTCCTGTTCGCCCCGTTAAACCAACCCCTAAAAGGGGGTGCCCTTAAAACGGCCTTGTAACACCCCCACCGGGCCGACGCTCCCTCTGGGCCCCCTGCCAGGAGAGTGGCTTCAACCTGCCGGCGAAGCAGCGGGCCTATGCCCGCGGCTCTCCGTCCTACAGCCCGAAGCCCACCTTCACCCCGAAGTGGAAGACCGCCGTCGGCCAGGAGGCCCGGGGGCCCCGGAAAGCGCGCGCCAGCAAAGCAAGCGCGCCTTGTCGCGCTTTTCGGCGCGCATGCTGGAACCGGGGGGGTCGCTTTGCGGCCGTCAAACATGGCGATGTTGAACCACCTGACGCGTGGACGAGTGCCATATAAACACCCAAATGGGGTGGTGTTTTGTTCGGTTTTAAAGGCAGGTTAAAATCAAGAATGGAAGTTGACAGGGTTTGGGAAGACTACAAGCCTCTTAAACACGCTCATGATTGGAAAGCGGGTATCTGGATGCCTTTTGCTCCCTGAGAGTTGCTCATGTTTTTGCCTTGGCTTGCCAGGCACCTCCTCCGCTAGAGCTGGTCCCGGACAAGCCAGAGATGCCTGCTTATATCGCGCCTTGGGCTTTTGTTTGAGAGGTGCCGGAAAGTCGGCCATCGACCAAAGAGCATCGCCAAGTTGATCCCCAAAGGAGTAACCCTGCAAAGCTTCTTTTTTCTAAAGCCACGCAATCTCAGGTACCCTTGATAGTTGGTTTGGATAACCCCGAACCATGGAGAAGATAGCTCCCTACCCTACCCTCCTGTCCACTATCCTGGAACCTGACGTTCCGGGCATCCTGGAAGGCTATCTTCCTTCAAACAGGGAGCCTCTGGTGTCCTTCTTGGTTGATTTGGTTTAAAAATCGGTTGGGCGATTCCTGGTTTACCTGGTGGTTCAACCCCCCAGGGCCATCGATTTTCAACCAAAAAGCGACACCTATGCAACAGGGCTCCTTAAAATTTTAAGATCTCCATTTTGCAACCATTTGAAACATGTTTTTTTGTTCTTCAACACCAAGATAAAGTTGGAAACAACACCATTTACAAGTTGCAAGGTTCAGGTGTATAATGCATCCGGATCCCTGTTTTACCATGATCAAAGTCATCCCCCCTGAGTGGTGGGTTCAAGGGAAATCACCGAATCCATTTTCTGATCCCATGGGAGGGGTTCATGAATCCGTCAACATTGCCCCAGTGAAAACGCGCGCCGAGTCCCAGTGAAAACGACTGGGAGCTTCCGCTGGGAACCCACGGCCCACGCACGCCCAAAACGCGAAACCCCGAAGCAGAGGTCCTGGGCTCGGGCTGCTACCGCATCGGCGCCTCGGTGGAGTTCGACTGGAGCTCCGTGAGCGCGGTGAGGATCCGTGATGGGCTGTCCGTGGTGGGAACACGTGGGGAGAGAAACGGGGAAGGGCGTTTGGGGAACCAGAACCCAGGGTCCGGAAAGTTTTTGTTTTTGTTCTCCCATAGTTGAGGAGTTCTTCAAGGGATTGGCATCATGTGTTTTGTTTGTTTGTTGGTTGGTTGGTTTGTTTGTTTGTTTGTTTTTGAGGCTCGGTACCCTTTTAAAGGCTGGTCTTGACGGGAAGCCACAAGGCGAAGCACCAAACATAGGATTCTCACACATGTGGACATGGTCCCGGAGGTTCCAGCTTTTAGTTTTTGGGAAATTGTATTTTGCGGACGGCAGTTTTTATGCGTTCATGTGGGTGTGTCTTTTTTGAGAGCATTCTTTTTAGGGGTTTTAAAGGGACACCACAAGGCAGACAACAAATTGGGGGGGTCCCCAAACAGCAGAGACACCCACGCGTTTAGGTGGTTTGTGAGAGGACGTGTTTCTTTCAGATCATTTTGGACGAGCTGCAGTTTCTTTTGAGTGCTGCAATTCCCGTCGCAGCTTGGTTGACTTTGTGTGGAAACCAGACCAAAAGGACACCCCTCGGCATGGCCTTTTTGGGGGAGCTTGCGAGTTACAATGACTCAATCAATAGACGGCTGTTTCGCAGTCTTCATCCAGATTTCTCGCTCTAAAGAGCCCTCCAAAGATGCCAGGACGATTCGACAGACTGGTCACCGCGCAATGGCCGCTTGGCAGCCACGGATGAGCTGTCTTTGCCAGTCACAATTGGAGATTTCAGTGTGCTGAGTCGCATCGAAAAAGAAAGCTGACAGGGCCTTGTGCCAAGGCTCTCTTGAGCATTGGCCCTAGGTCATCAACTGCAACCCAGAGACAGTCTCCACAGACTACGATGAGAGCGACCGGCTCTACTTCGAGGACGTGAGAGAACATGTGACTGACTGCTCCTCGGGGCGAGTGTTGTGAGTGATGCTGGGCCTGTTCATATCCGCGGGATCATTGCTTGTGGGAAGCATTTTGATGGCTGACCAGATCAGAGAAGCAGCAGGGAAGCCTTCGAATCACAAGCAGCAGGGTAGCCCATTTTGGGGTGACCATATGTTTAATCCACAGCCATGTCCTGCAACTTCAGCTTTTTCGTTTCCCAAGCGCAGCCCTCCAGGAGCTCACTCTGGAAACCGTGTCGGAGATCGTCCACTTTGAGCAACCGGAGGGTGGGGGCACCGTGAGAGTGGAAGCCATGCCTGCAAAAGGCCTTGAAAGTCTGACATGGCTGTGGGGCTCAAAACTGTTTTGGGATCCCATTTTGGACGGTAGGTGAATTCACCACCCATTTTAGAACCTATTTTAGTGGGGATTGGGATGTTCGCTGGGGGTACGGGATTTTGACCCATGGCCGCATGGGTGTGTCTGAAAATAGAGTCACCGCCAAGATGGCTGGCTTCCTTGTCGTTTCCCTTTCAAACCCAACCAAACTGGCGCGCCTCCAAAAATCGGGGTACCAACTCCAAAAAAAGGACGCCATCAGGAAATGTCCCTTGCACAAAGCCAAAGCCAGAGCTCAAAGGAGCTGGAAGACGCGAGCGCACGATCTATCAAATGGCCATAGGTCAAAATCCAAATCGTACCCCCCAGTGAAAATCCCAATCCCCACCAGTGAACATCCCAATCCAACACCAAAATAGGTTCTAAAATGGGTGGTGAATTCACCTACTTTTGGAATTCACCTACCCCAAAATGGGATCTCATTGGTACCAAAACGGTTTTGACCACCACAGCCAAATGGCTGCTGCTCCGCCAGGAACCATCGTGTCTGTGGGTGGCCAGACGCAGCTCTGCCGCGCTTTTTTGCGCTCTTGAGCGTGTAGCTGAGGGGAGAAACTGACGGGACCCCCTCCACACAAGGTTCCTAGCATCTAAGGGGGTAAGAGCCACTTTTTGGTGATACGCATTCCTTAGAGCCGGCGTTCTATGGTTCTAAGAGCCATTCTGATGGAAACAGCTGGTTTTGTTGCTGCGCGAGGCCCAACAACCTGGCGCCCAAGCTGGACAAGCTTGGGATCCACATCCTCGGCACGGCTGCGGACAACATCGACCGGGCAGAGGACAACCAAAGAACTTTCCTAGACTTCTGAACTTGACATAGGTGTCTTGTGGCGTGTGTTGGTTGAAAGCTCCACGGAATTAAAGGCACGCAGTTCACAGGCAGACGTTGCCGGGTTCTACTTTCGACAAAAATAAGCACAATAATCACTAACGATTGCTTGGCAGCTTTAGTATGCTGCATTCATGTTGATCCATTTCATGAATACAGCACAAGATATATGTGTGTAGAACAGATTCCGCTTTCATCAGAGTGCCAGCTTTCGCTTATTGCAAGACGCGGAGCAATCGCATTTGGGACGCCTGAATGGCCCGTGCTGTGATATGCGCATGCTGGGTTGGAGGCAGCAGGATTTCTTTCGAGCGAATGTCATGCACCGACACCCAGGCTTTGTGGACATTGATGAGCATATGAGTAGAGAACTCATATTCGGGGATTTGAACCATCTTCGAGAATAAACCTTGGGTACACAATGCAGGCGCTTGAGTGCAGGATCGCTCCAAGTTCTCTACCATGTGTGACGAGCTGGGCATCGACCAGCCGGCGTGGTCGGAGTTTGTGAAGTTGGAGGAGACGCTTCGGGGTGAAGCCAAGCGCATGGCAACCCACATGGGCGTGCGTTCAAAGAAGGGCCCCCCAAATCCTTTTTTTTGTGTCCCTTCAACATAAGCCCAAGCAGGGTGCGCTCGCAAGAAGACGGACCCATAATATGCGGCTGCGGCCGGCCTTCGTGGTGAGAGTCCGAGAAAGCGCGAGGGAAGCACAGCAAGAGGGCCGGAAGGGTGGTCGATGCGGCAAATCCGGGGCATAGGTGTCCTTTTTGTGGTTGTTTTGCCGGAAAAGCAGATGGCGATTCCTGGTTTACGTGGTGGTTTAATCATCTACCAGGGCCGTCGATTTCCCCTAAAAGGACACCGAAGATCCGGGGTCTGACACGTGGCTTCGCCAGGAAGCCATGACCTTCGCCAACCTGGTGGGGTTCCCAGTTCTCGTGCGGCCCTCGTACGTCCTCTCCGGCGCTGCCATGCGTGTCATTGACAACGAGGAGCCGCGGATCGGGGCAAAAGGAGGGGGCTTATCGTTGTGGGCGGCGGGTTCCTTGGGAGGAAGTTTGCTGGCCAGGGTGACATTGGCAAGCCCCCAAAGGACGGGTATGGGTCAAAACTAAACCACTAAAGAACCGCAAATTTTAGTCCTTTAGTCCTTGGTTCCATTTACCAGGGCAACCCATTTTGGGGTTACCCTAGGTTTGACAACCGCAGCCATTTTGAGAACCCTTCGCGGGTTTCGACTCAGAAGCTTCTTCGAGGAGCAGCTGAAGGCCTTCCTGGGCACTGCTGCGGTGGCCTGGTGCTCAGCTGGGGCACACCTTCTGAAACGGTTTCGGTTTGGGTGGGTTGGATGGGTTGGGATGGGTTGGATGGGTTGGGATGGGTTGGATGGGTTGGGATGGGTTTGATGGGTTGGGATGGGTTGGATGGGTTGGGATGGGTTGGATGGGTTGGGATGGGTTGGATGGGTTGGGATGGGGGTTGGATGGGTTGGGATGGGTTGGATGGGTTGGGATGGGTTGGATGGGTTGGGATGGGTTGGATGGGTTGGGATGGGTTGGATGGGTTGGGATGGGTTGGATGGGTTGGGATGGGTTGGATGGGTTGGGATGGGTTGGATGGGTTGGATGGGTCGGGGGTGATTGCTGCCAATCATAATCAACCGAGGGGGAAGTATGAGCGGAGAGAATAGCTGCAATTCCTTTTGGGTATGCGCCAAATAGGGGACCTTCCCGATAACCACCCCCAAAACGGGGGGGGGGACCAACAAGCACATACCCTCATGTGGCTGTGGGTCAAAATAGGCACCCAAAATGGAACCATGGTAAATGGAAACATGGACTAGCACCTGCGGTCCCCTGATGGTTTAATTTTTTGACCCATTCCCGTGTTGAGCCTCTGAAATCCCGTTTGCTGAGGTTGAGCAGGAGTTCCCCTATTTTGGCGCATACCCAAAAGGAATTGCAGCAATTCTCTCTGGATCCGCTCATACTTCCTCTAATTTGACCATGATTGGCAGCAACTCGGACTCGCCCTAACAAACACCTTCCTTTTGGGTATGCGCAATTCCTTTTGGGTATGCGCTAAATAGGGGGACGGGGGCGAGGGGTGCCCCAAAAAACACACACCCATTTTTAGTCTCTGAAATCCCATTTGCCGAGGTTGAGCAGGAGTTCCCGGTGGTCATCTCCAAGTATGTCGAGGGCGCAAGGCTTGCGCCGCGCGAATTCTTGGCGCAGAGTCATTCCAGCAGCTTGTTCAGCTGTTACATGGTTTACACCTGGGTGTGAGTGTTTTTTTTGGGAACCCCCTTTGGTTTGGTTTTAAAAGGGAAACCAAAAGGAACACCCACCCACTTTGGGGGGTCCTCTAAAACAAGACACGCCGTGCCTGCATTCAGCCTTTGTGAGTCCAAAGACGCAGAAGGCTTGGTTCGACTGGCTCACAAAGCCCGTCTAAATGAGTAAGGGGAAGCGAGCAGAATAGCATTGGAGTGGGACGAGCGGGTGTGAATGTGAAGGGACTCTTTTGTGGACACCATGTAGGCGAAACAAATGCTGTGTCCACTTTGGAGCTTTTTTTGTTTTTTCTTTTTCTTTTTCCCCCCCCCAAAAAAAAATTCGCAGGTTTCGCTTGTGGCGTCGTGCGATGGGGCCAGGGAGATCGAGTTTGATGGCGTGGGCCGCAATGGCCAAGTGATCAACTATGCCATCTCTGAGCACGTCGAGGCGAAGCGGACGCGGTTTTTGCGGGGGGGGGGGGGGGAAGGGGTGGAACTCCCTTTGCTTAAGAGGGAGACCGAAAGGAAAACCCGCCCATGCCAGCGATGCTCACCAAAGGGTGTTCAAAGCAATCCAGCTTAATGGTCAATCCGGCCAGGGAACAGGCAAGGCTTTCTGATGTGGTGGCCAACGTTTCATGTTTGCCATGAATTTGTTACCCAAACATGTCAGGCAACGAACACATTTGTCAATGAACCAAGGTCACATACTTTTACGGCTTGGGCTTTCTAGCTATCCTTCTGTCAGGTGGCTCCAGGGTTCCAAACGCAGTCCAGGCACCACCTGAAACAAGTGCCGGAAGCAGGGAACATCCTGAGCCTCAGAAGAACAGGTTGAACCTTTTTCAGAATAGTTGGCTCCTGAAACAGAATGTTCTCAAAGCAATTCATTCCCGCACCTGCAAGCAGATGAAGCCGAACTTTCCGGCTTTGCAACTTCGATTCAAGCGCTTCAGAGGATACCTGGGGCTTTTGACTCGCGGTTTTGTGTTACCCACGCAGCTTTTTATCGCGCTCCAAAGCCTGTCTGTCAAGTTTGGTGAACCTGAAAGGCCATCCAAAGGACATGAGTTGGACATGGGAAAGGAATGTTGTATTCCGCTAGTTTGTATTTCAGTACAATCGTCTAGTTTGCATTTCAATGTTTTTACAGGTAACTTGTTGGAAAAAAGGGAGACCCAACATATTTCCATTTTGCAAGTAGTTGGGTATTCAAAGATCCAAACGGAGCCCGTTGACCGATTCTAGGAAAGCCGTTGCTTCCCTTGTTTTGCCGGATAGGACGCCGGCACCCACAGCGGCGACGCCACCCTGCTGCTCCCGGCGCAGCGCTTGCATTTGGAGACCCACCGACGGGTGATGCACATCGCCGGGCAGTTGCTGGGGAGCCCGAGCGATCCCATTGGCGGGGGGGGGGTTCTTTCTTTCCTTTGAGAGAACATCACTCCAGCTTTAAATGGCAAAAAAATAGTTTTCTATGTATGAGCCCTTAGTTGGTGATATTGGTGACTTGGGGGGTTTGAACCTCTATAGGGGTGTCTTTTTTGGGAGCCGGTACTACCTTACCTTTTTTTGCGGTTTTAAGGAAACACCCAAAGGACAACCACCGTTTTGGAGTGTCCCCCCCAAAAATGACACACCCAGGTTTCCCCTTAAAACATCACTCTTAAGGGAAGCTCGCTTGAAATGGCAAAGAAAGGTGCTTTCACCAAAGAAGGAACATACGAAGACGGCGCCCACGCGCTGCATTTCAGGAACCCCCTCCTCCGCGTTTCTGCCCTGAGACTGGCGGCTGGAGCCGACCTGTCAGTTTTTCTGGATTAACTCCTTCCTAGAACTCCATGGAGTTTGTGGGTTTACACCACGACATCGGACAGGCTTTGATCAGTTTGAATCAGATCGGATCAAGTATGTTGATGTTTCCATGGCGCAGGGAGAATCCTGATTGGTCCATCTGCTGCCATGCGAGGTGTAAGGCGCTGAACATCTCTGGCCCCTTCAACGTGCAGTTCATGGCACAGGCGCGGGAGACGCGTGAGACTCGCGACATCGAAGCCTCGGCCTGGGGTCTCTGCAAATTTTTTGGGACCTGATGCGAAGCAGCTTCTTATGCCGTTTAGGAGCATGTTTGAGGCAGGTGTAGCATGCCATGCCCTGAACCTAAATGAAATAATGGAAAGTCTTTGGCACAAGGCTCCGCGGTGTTTGTTTCTCTTAGGCTGGAGACATCCTTTTCTCGCTGAAATATGAATCCATGAGCAGTCCGCGCCCACTCGCTGTATCACAGCGAGGCTGATAAGTGTACATTATCTGAACCTGAGCTTAACCACGCCTCAAAGTCATACTGAACAAGCCCAGGCACAAGCCCAGACATTCACCTCCTACTGGAAGCCACTCACTACAGAGTTTTCTTTGAACAAAACGAACCCCAAGCCGCAGGAAAACCCCTGCCAAAAGCAGTAGGCTACTCTTCAGCCCAAATGGCGCCAGGAAGACTCATGCAGCTCCATGAGGTCTGTGAAGGTCATCGAGTGCAACGTCCGAGCGTCTCGCACAGTGCCCCGATTGAGCGATTTCGCGAAAGCGAAAGCCATGCGAGTCGCTCGCCTTCACAAAACCCAAGGGCCTCGAGTGCAACGTCCGAGCGTCTCGCACAGTGCCCCGATTGAGCGATTTCGCGAAAGCGAAAGCCATGCGAGTCGCTCGCCTTCACAAAACCCAAGGGCCTGCGTGCTCAGCGCATGGCGCTGCTTGAAGCGCCTGGTTGGAACAGGCCTTCTTGCTTCCAAACCGTTTCTTGCATCCCTTGGCAGTGGTCATGGCTAGGCCTGTGGAGACCCGACAGTTTGAGGCAAGAGGCTTCGCTTTAGGTACCATTCGTCTCGAAGACATTCAACGTGAATTTCATCGAGCAGGCGACCCGCGTGATGCTGGGCCAGGACTTTGCTGCAGAGCTGTCCGACTGGACCGGAAAGAACGGGACTCTGCGAGAGGGGGTCAAGGGGGGGAAGCAGTGCGCAGGACATTAGCCGGCAGAAGGTCTATGCCTATGACTTTGAGTTTGTGGCGTGCAAGGCGGGCAAAGCATAGTTCTGCCTGCAAAGCGGGGGGGGGGGGGGCGTGTTTTGGCGTTTTGGAGAGTTCTGGAGCATTCCAGGCGCCGATGTTCTCCTTCCTGCGGCTGAGCGGGTCAGACCCCCATGTGGGCGTTGAGATGCAGAGTACTGGCGAGGCGATGGCCGACGGCTGCCTGGCTGGCTGGCTGTTTGGCTGTTTGGGTTGTTGGGGTCGGAAGAAATTTCTGTAGGGCCCCAGGACCCACCTTGAGAGGTTGGGAGAAGCTAAGACTTGCTTCCTGACGGCCGGAAGGCGGCACTTGGAACAAGTCCCGCCCGTTCGTATGAGCGGGCTGGCCGCCTTGTGCTTGCCTGCATGCAACTCTCGCCAGGTGGCTTGCTTCGGGCACAATGCTCATGAGGACGGCTGCGCGCTTGTTCTTGGGAAACCACGAGATATGTGGCGGAATCAAAAGGCGGCAAGCAGGTTTAATGGTAAGACGAAGCTGGAGGGCCACATTCATCCAGGGAATTCGAGATCCCCCAAAATAATTCAGTTCCCCAACTGTAGAGCGAACCAGCTGTGACGGTCCTTGGGCAAAAACCCGGAGTTCAGCTTTGCAACCATAAGTTTCCTTTTTGGTTGGTTTGGTTGAGAAATCGAGGGGTTCCTGGTTTACCTGGCGGTTCCATCACCTACTAGCACCATCCATTTCCCCAAAAAGGAGACCTATGTTTCAGGGCTCCTGAAAAGATACATTTTGCATCCATTTGAAACATGTCTGGCTTTTTCAACACCAAAATAAAGAAAGGGAAACAACCGCCATTTGCCAGTTGCAAGGTTCAGGTGTGTGATGCATCCGGATCCCTGTTTTACCATGATCAAAGTCATCCCCTGAGTGGTGGGTTCAAGGGAAATCACCGAAACCATTTTCTGATCCCTGAATGGGAGGCCATCTATTTTCCAAAAAAGGCCGCCTATGTTTGCAGCTTCCGCCACTTCTTTCGAGCGCGCGAGAGGCCTTCATGAAAGCGCTGATCGCCAGCGGCGTAAAGGTCACCTTCGAGAAGTGCGGGTGCGCCGATGGGCACATCTCGCGGACCTGGGGCAGGGGTTGGCTCCAGAATCTTCGGGGTCCCAATCCCTTCGCAAACGAGAGCGAGTGACGGCAAGCCTCCTAGTCGTCTCGTGCCAGGGTGCTCTTGTCGCTGGGACCGAAGGACGGAGGTTTGAGTTGTGAGACTAAGATCGCCCTGCCAAGTGTTGGGAAGCTTGGAGGCCTTTTCACATGACTGTTGCGTCTCAAATTGGCGCTCCCAGCCAGAAGCTGCTTGAAAGCCAGGAAAAGCCCTCATTTTGAGAGACCCGCGCCATCACCGGTAGGATGGCTGAAAAACGCGAGGCACCGGTGTTTTCCCTGCGAGAACTTGTGCCATGGCCAGGAGGACAAGGCTGCCATCCTGAAGTACCTGCCTTTGATGGATGAGATGGGCCTCACGTGCTGGCCTCAATTTGTCACCGTGCCAAAAAGAAAAGAAAAACGCACAACCCTTGGTGCTTTGTGCGGTGCTTGGTGCTGTTCAAGCTTGGATCATGTGGAAGTACCTTCGCTTCCTTTTGCGAAGCGATTTTTGTTGGAATCACTGCAATCTGCATAGGAATCTGGTCTCAAGGATGGCTCACGCCAGAGAGAGAGAGAGAGAGAGAGAGAGACAGAGTGGTGTTTGAAAGGTTGAGCTGAGCCATCTCTCAAATCAGTGGGCTACGCTGAGGTTGTTTGCCACAAGTGGCACAGCTTCCTACATCCAGGCCCATCTTTGGCTTCTTTCCAGGGGCGTAGGCAACTCCACACTTGTCGCAGGCAAAATCTCACAAAACACCGTAAAGGATCTTGCAGGTTGAGTCGATTCAGCGAGGAGCGCAGGCCAATTGTAAAGAACTGATCTCCGCACCAAGGATTCCTTGCACAAAGCATGCATGTCCAAAAGGGTCGGTCCGAAATCTATGTTCAGATTTCTTTGGAGGGCGTCTTCTTTCGAGGGTCAAAGGGGCAAGAGGACACCGCCCCAACCCCAGCTCCCCCGCTCCCCCAACCTGCGGGCGTCGACTTCCGCAGGCCAGCGAGCCCAAGCGCAATGGCAAGACCATCCCGGTCACTGCCTGCGCTTCTGCCCGGAAACCCAAGGGCGCACCTCGTGGATTCTGCAAACAGGTCCATATTCTTTTTAGGGGACCGCAAGAATGGTGGTTTTCCTTCTAGTTGTCCTTGAAAACCACCAAAAAAGGTTCCCCCCCCCCCAAGAAAAAAACAAAAACAACGACAACAGGACGCCCTCCATGTCTATTTTGGTCTTTCTTGGCTGAACAGATTTGGGGAAAGTCTCGCAGATCTATTCACTGCGCAAATGGCTCAAGCTGGAAAAAGCTCCGAATTGGGATCTTTCTGACCTGTCCTGCAGCAAACATGGCGTGCAAGTTCCTTTCACGTTGTGGCTCGCATTGGGGGTTTCCGCCTCCTCGCTTTGTTTTTGTTGCGAAAGGGACACTCATGCCCTGAAGATGTTGTTACAGTGACCCAGAGTGTTTGGATAATGCACACGGAACGTACACATTCGCTTGGGTCTTTGGCAAAATGCGAGCTCTTGGTTGGAGTCATGTTGTGTTGGCCGCCAGACTTGATCCGATAGCTGGAACATAGTTGGGTGTGGCTCAAAATGAAACAGGAGGGGCAAACCGCAGGTTTTGGTCCATGTTTCCACTTACCGGGGTTCCATTGTGGTACCGGTTCTTTGAGCCCACAGCCAGTTGAACCCTACTTGAACCACCGAAAGGAAGGGTAGATGACGCGATTACAGCGGAGAGTCACCGTGAGGATGGCAGCGGCGACAAGAGCGTGTCCAAGATCATCGAGGATCTGGATCTGGGCGAGAAGAACGAATTCGCATGTGCGAGTTGCTTGACTTTGCCGCTCCGATGGTTTCTTGGTCTACGTGCTTGTGTTTGTTTGCTTGCTTGCTTGCTTGCTTGCTTGCTTGCTTGCTTGCTTGGTTGTTTGTTTGTTTTGTTTTGTTTATTTGTTTGTTTGTCTGTTTGTGCTTTGTTTGTTTTGTTTTGTTTGTTTGTTTGTTTGTTTGTTTGTTTGTTTATTTATTTATTTATTTGTTTGTGTTTTGGTTGGCTTGTTTGTTTGTTGGTTGGTTGGTTTGTGTGTGTGTGTGGCCGTTCTCTGCCTTTCCCCGACTTTGCCCAGCCGTTTTTTGCCGCTTCGCAGGACAAAGCCGCGAAGATTGTGATTTGCACCCCCACCTCGCGGGAGTTCGCCTGCCGAGCTTGATGCAAGCGATTTCTGCGCTGGTGCCGTGTTTCTGTTCAGAGATGGCTATGCAATGGGGAGCCACCTCCAAAGTGGTTGGTGGACAGGAATCCCCGCCTGACTGTCCACCAAAGGCCCGCTGTGAAACTTCACACCGAGATTGGTAAACTTCACATGAGCAATGAACACTACCAGGGTATCGACATTGTTTGGGCTATCGGTTTTGGAAAAGATTGTCTTCGGGTCCCTAGCAGTTTCTGGCGATGCTATCAACTTGCTGATCCATGGTCTTGGGAATGAACCCTTTCTGGGATTTCCGCATACAGGAAGCCATTTTCGTTGGGTTATGGGGTGTCATTGCAACTCATTCGATGAGAAAAGAACCTGAGGATTCCTGCAAAAAGGAAAACACATCGGAAATGCATGGGGCTTTCACTTGGGGGGTTCTGCCTCTCGAACAAGCCGCGGCCAGCTCTGCGGGCCAGACCGCGGGCTATCGACTGCGGAGGAGAGGGGTGAGGGCGAGCATCGCGGGCAAGCGGCTTGTAGCCACGTTCTCGAAACTTGGGTAGATGCAGGTTGAGGGATAGTCCCAACCAGAAACGGGTGCGGATACCCGCGTTTTAAATTCTTTACACAGTGTTGGGTAGACTATTTTAATACCGATCGGTTTTGATCATGACTCATATTGTTTTCAATCTATCCGGCTTCTGGAGGGTTTTTCAAGTTTTCCACAGGACAACCACCTGGAAACCAGGCAGTTGTGTCAAGGCAAGCTGGATGGGGCAGTTGGCCCGAGGGCTACAACCAACTTGCATCATTATGTTTATCACCCCATTTTGTGCGCAAAGTGATGGGAGTTTACGGGCTTAACACGACAGTTTTTGGCACCTCGTCAGATCACTTAAAGGCTCGAAAGGTCATGCGGTTTACGGCGGTGAGTTTCAAGTTGATTAAGTGGATTTCATGGGGAACTCTCTTAAATTGCCCAATGAAAAGCGTTCCCGAAGACTCTTAGCATGGGTCTTGCAAGGGTTCCTCCAGGAAATCCCTGGAGACGGGCCTATGCCTGATCGTGAACATGCAGCAGGCCGGGCAGTACAAAGAATCAGTAAATCAGGCACGTTTCTTCTTTCACAAGCCACTTGACCACCGAAATCCTGCGCACATCAAAGTCAAGGCACTATTCCAGAGAACTGGTTTGTCATGTTCCGTACGCATCGATGTGGCCATGGGGCCCTAACCTCTGGCTGGCTCCATTTTGGGGTGGATGAGCATCCATTTGCCACCTATTTTGATGTTCACCAGGGGTAAGGGTTTTGACCCACGAATCCATGTGCCAGCGCATTGGTGTCGCGCTGGGGTGTTTTTTTTTCTCCGGGAGCCGGCGCGTTCACCACTCAAGGAATTGGGCGTCACGCGCGCCAGATGCATTGCTCGGACTTCTCTCGGCCCATCGGCTCTAGCACGCCCCGCTTCCCAAGAGGCGATCGCCAGCTAGCCTTGCTGAGCCGCAACCTGTTGCCAGGTTGCTTCGCTGGAAAGTGATGGTGGTTTACAGCTGATGCCTTCCAGCATCCACTTTCTAGCGAAGCAACCCATTTCCAAAGGCAACCCACATCTGACGCCTACAAAGGCAACCCATTTCCACATCTGTTGCCTTCGGCTTGCCCTCGAGAGAGAGGTGGAGGAAAACTGCCGGAATTGTACGCGTTGCCAGTGCCCGGAGGTGTCAAAGTCGCAGAACCAAACAAACCACTGCCAATAGATGCAAAATCCACGGCGATCGGCACCTGGCAGACTTTTTTGATCAGCCCATGTTCCCGGGGGTTTCATCCCATCCCATGCGGCAGAGGCTATTGAAACAATGTAGATGATTACAAGAATCCACTCCAGGCACCAGTTGCGAAGGAATTGTCAGAAATTAGCCACCTATCAGTTGGTGCATCCGCAGCTCTAAATCCAGCGTGCGACGGCAAGAATTGTCCGGCACGCCTGGCCGGGCAGTTGCAACACCGCGAGCCACAGTTCTGAGGCCCACTGCCAGGGACTCATGAAGAAACCACGTGGCATGCAGAAAGAGCAGAAGGCCCACCAGGCGGAAACAAGACAAAGCTGCTGGGCCGGGAAGACACGGAAGTTAGTGGCCCTGCATCCCTCCGAAGCAGTTGGCAACTGCACGCGCGAATCGCACCCCAGCCCCCATCTCCACAACGAATCCGGGTTTTTGAAGGGGACGTGACTAGATTGTGCCTCGATCTTCGCTCCGTTTGCGCGAAACGCAAGCCAAGCCGTCCAGAGATGAATGGACTTGCACCTTCCGGAGCCACGCTTTGAAAGAATCGGAGCTACTTGCGCCTCCGCTCGCACCACATTTTTTTCTCGGCACGCGCGGAGTTTCCAGCGCTTCTGCACCTTGGGTTTCTAGGGCCCCTGTGACATCGAACAGAACTGGATCAAGTGGCCCTTTCCGGGTGGCGAAGCGTGCGAAGCGAGTCGAGGCCCTGATGCTCATCGACGCGCTCTATGAGAAATTCACACTTGAGCAGCAGGGCTTGGATTTTTGGAGCTTAGATTCCTGGCAGGAATGCCACCGAATTGGCTAAGGGTGTGCCTTGCGCACTTCTTGGTCAATATCATTTTTCGGACTCTTGTACAAAGCGCGGGGGGTTACTTCTCTGATTCGAATCACTGAGGCTGACGCAGCCATGATCCCAGGGTGACAAGTTGATGTTGCACACATTTTCGTAGCACACCCGCACCCACCCACACACTCACACACCCACACACACTCACACACACACTCACACCTGCTCATTTTCGCGCATGGGGTTTCTTGGGGCGTCCTTGGGACCTCAGTGTGGAATCGTGCTGGCTGGAGGCCAGCGGGCTTTTGGGCAGCGAACAACCACATTCTGCTGCGGGTCCTTTTGCCAAAGCCAAACCGTGTGACTCGGGCGACATGCGCAAAAGAGCGCCGAGAGCGCGAGGCGTGCGGGGTAAACTTTTGCCATCGATCGCTGAGAAGGGGAAGATGACCGTGGAAGGGAACCTGATTCAGGGCGTTATGACGTACGGCAAAAAGTTTCGACCGTGGCATAAATGCTCCGGACGGTGGTTTTGGCTTGTTGGCATGCGGCTGAGTGCTGGACCGTTTTCAGTGCTTCTTTGTTTTCTCATTTTTTGGTTTCCTCTTGAACGTCATACAGAACGTAGTAGTCGGCGTTGTTGTACCACCTGGTAAGCCCCGCTTATTATTGGCTGGTCTGGACTGAAGCGTTAGCAGCGGCCTTTGCACTCCAGCCAGGGCCAGCGGCCGGTGGTTTTAGGCAGTTGCGCAAGGCTGCTTGACGCAGCTTGTTGCTCAAGGGCACATTTTGCACTCAACATGTAGCAGTGACATTGACTCTGCTACAACCATGACTGTGGACAGACTTGATTTTCCAATCCTGACAGCTTCTTCGCGCAACCCCTTCAAGTGTTTCGGCACTTGCATGGCACGCGCGCAGAGAACGAAGGGGAATGCAAAGCAGACCAAGGCCCGCATTGCGGGAGGACTCACGGCCCCTTTGGGGCTTCCTTTGCAGCGCCATCTGTGTTCATCGCCATGAAAGGAGATGACACAATTCTCTTGTGGCTGTGGGTCAAAACCAACAGTACCATTTTGGGGTGGGTGCACCACCCATTTTGGAGCCTATTTCAGTGGTTGGATTGGGATGTTCACTGAGGGTACGGGATTTTGACCCATGGCCTTGTGGGTAAAGGGATGAAGAGAGAGCTTCAAATGGACGGGGGGACCGTGATCTTGAAAGTGTAAACCGCCAACGCGAACGTCGGTGAACCTCTTGGCGCAGGTGAGGAAGAAGTCTGATGGGAAGTGGCGGAGAGACACCGAGGAGTTTCGTGATGCATCAGTGCCGACGGATGACGCCGTTTTGTATCAGGATGAAGTGTCTATCTGAAAGATGCCCCCTCATTCCATTTGACACATCTGTGCTCGTTCGTTTTGGTTGAAGCTGTTACTTGGAGGGTGTGCTCAGGGCTCCCGGGTTTCCACGGGTTTCCCGGCCGTGGAACCTGTTTGCCCGGGAAACTGCGTCGCGCCTTATCTCCGCGGCCTCAGGAGGCGGAGATCGCGCGCCTGGAGCTGCGCGTCCGCCAGGAGTGCGCGGAGAGAAGTCGCTCCGCGGCCAAGGAGAAGGACGGCGCTCAGAAGGTGCGAGAAGGGGCAGGGAGTTACTGTGGATGGTTGCGAATTCCAGAGATCGCACCACCCAAGAAACAATGAAAAACCATTGTTTGTTGGTATTGACAGGGGAATCATCATTCTCAAGGTTTCTTAGGTGGTGCAGGATTTCGGCCATCCACAGTATGGGGGGGATATGTGGGCAACGTCCACATGGGTCTGTTTAGGGAACCTTTGTTTTTTTTTGGGAGTTGAAAGGTCCCTCACAACAGATTGGACAACACTCACATGTGCCGACTGGCTTTTGTAGCAGTATCTTCTTCCTGTTAATCCAGAGATTGAAGTGCGTATGACTAGCAGTTTCAGATCATGATGGATTGCATATGTGCCACGGTCAAACCACCTGCTCAATTAGGACCAATAGCTGCAAGGTGATCTTCTAACGGGGAAGTTTCTCTCGAGCGAGAAGCGGGTCATTTGCGATGCGGGACTCAGCTTTTTGTCAAAGAGCCCCTGCCAGAGTTGGATGACAAGCAATTCCGTGGGTTGCCCAATTCCTGCACCAGTTGGTAGCTGCTTCATTCTGGCTTTCATAGAGTGTTATCCACTAATGCATCGGTGTATCCGTCCACCGTATGTTTCGCAGGCCCAGAAAAGCTCTTGCGAGTTTGCAACATGGGCAGTAACATGGGATGACCCGTTGATGACTCTTGGCATGAAGGGTCGCATTTGGCTAGCCAAGTCCTAGAAAGGTCAAAAATGCAGCAACAAGGTTTGCCCAGCCAACTCTGCCTGCTGCGCCAACGAGTGTTTCCCACAGGTTTGCGAGGTATGGAATTGCTCTTCTTGTCATGGTCGTAGGTGTCCTTGTTGGTTTTCGTTTAAACATAGAGGGCGATTCCTGGCTTGCCCGGTGGTTCAATCACCTACCAGGGAAATCCATCTATTTTCCACCAAAAAGGACACCTATGGTCATGGCGCTGTTGTCGTGCCGTTGGCTCCTGGCTCCGCCTCCAAGCCGAAAAGTCGCGCAGGGCCCGGCGCTCACGGGGCGACTCTTCAAGGACCTTCCCATCTCTCAGCGGACGCTGCAGGGCCTTGAGGCGCAGGGGCAACGGGACGCTCAGGGCAACCCATGTGTCTGCTGTCAAAAGTGGGGCAACCCCAAAATGGCTTGCGCTGGCAAATGGACACTCGGACGAGAATCTGTGGTCCCCTGGCTGGTTAAATGTTGACCCATACCCAGATTGTTGCTCGCGAGGCTTGGTTTGGTTCTGCTTTGCATTTCGGGATAGATCATGCTTATGCTTCAAGAATAGTCTATGAGGCTGTGCCTGAAGGGTGTGTTGTCATCATCAAAAATCACATCCATGTGAAGGGGCCCTCCACTCCCCGCCGCAAGGTCTTTTGGTGATTGGCATTGATGATTCACTCCAGGCCTAACGCCTGCACGGCTGGCGACTTTCAATCAAGTACGTCTCAACATCCGAGGCTTCCAAAAGGATTTAGTTCTTTGTAAGCTTCCTTCAAGCGAACCAATTGGCCCCAATGTTCAGGCTCATTCATTTGATTGGCGCTGGTGGACAAGTGAGCTTCGTCTTTTTTCTCCCTCGCTGGACATTGTTCTTGCAAAGCGTGGATAAGACTACAGTGGCGGAAGTTTCGGAAGATTTTGGGACGAGTTCAACCGGAAGTCCAAAAGTCCACTGCACCGTGCCCACGGAAGCAAAAGTCACCAAAACATGCCAGCGGAAGTCTGCGGAAGCAGTTAGTAAAAATATGTCCGCGGAAGCAACGGTTGACGCTGTGGAAGCTTGGCAGAAGGGTTCGCAGAAGGTTGAGAGGATTAAAAACACGCTCTAGTGCAAGCGCATGCGCAAGTACAAGTGCGTGCGCTTCTGTGTGTGCGGGTGGGTGGGTGTGTGTGTGTGTGTGTGTGTGTGTCTCTGTGTGTGTGTCTTTGTGTGTGTGTCTGTGTGCGTGCGCGCAAAAGCGCTTGCAAGCTGAGCAGGCCTCGCAGTATGTCAAGATGACGGAGATCCAGAGCGGGGCCATCCCTCCGGCTCTCTTCGGCCGCTCAGACTTGGAAGGAGGGTTTTCCCCCAGCTGCAACAGGCTCCGGAGTGGTTTGGCGGCTCCAAGAAAGGGGTTCCGGAAGGTTACGGGGGTCGGGGATACCACTTGGGCGTATTTTTTTTGTGCAGCAAGGAGAGTGACCAGCTTCGCGAGCAGGTTCCGTAGAGCTTGTTGTGAGCAGCTGTTTATGTTTGATGTTTGGCATAGATAGCCAGTGCGATTCTTTGGGACCCTGCAATGATGTTGCAGGCGGCTCGCACAAGTGGATGTAGAATTGCGGATGAGTGGTCGTTGGTCAGCCTTTGATATACTTCGAGCTATGTTTTTGAGGTGACGGGGCTGAGACTTGGGGACTCCGAGTCGGAGACTTCCGCGCAACGCGGCATCTCCCGAGGCCGCGACATCTTGGGGGAAGCCCGGACCGGGTCCGGCAAGACGCTGGCCTTTCTGGTGCCAGTGGTCGAGAGCCTCTACAGGCGCAGCCTCTGACGTGGAACAGGGAGCCGCCAAAAAATAAGCCGAGAGGGGGAAGATGTTTTTGTTGGCTGCAGGAGGCGATGGTCCAAGATGGATGGCCTTGGCGCTGCCATCGTGCTGGGCTGAGTGAGCGAGCAATCCATGTGTTCCTGTTTCGAAGATTGGCGTGGGTGTTTCTCAAAATGGTAGACCCCCTTTTTGGTTGGGAATCCAATGTGCAATTATAAAGCCATTCTGGGAAACTCCCATTTTGAAGCCCCCCAAGTATTCGGAGCGACTTGGTTCCTGTAGAGATTGAAGTATGCATCATGACTGGTATAGTTTCATGCGATGGATTGCACAGCACCGTCAGGACTCCCCTGGGCACTTGTGTGGCAATGGACTCCTCAGGTAACTTTTTCGGCCATGCGGAGGAGCGGGCGCGTAGGAGATTTCCTAGCCAGACACACACGTTGTAGGGGTTGATTCCGATTCCATTATTTTCAACCATTTTTCTTTCCAAAAGCCGGATCCGTTTTCCCGATCGGGTTTCCGGAGGTTTTCTAGAATGATCCGGATCCCTGGAAAGAATGGGGAAGGTACCCCTAGAGTTGCAAAGGTTCCCGAGGAGAACCATGACCCTGGCAACCACCTGGTGAAAGCCCTTGCACAGCGCACCTCGCCTTTCGCATTTGGCCTGAGGTGTCTCCGACCCGCGAGCTGGCATACCAGATTTTCCAGGCCGGGGTCAGCAAGAGCGCCAGGAATTCGGGTGTCTGGTAGGCGCAGTGGCCCAGCGTCGCCCCCAAAATGTTTATCGTTTTTGGAAGGGTTCCCCGGTTAAATTCAACCGTCCAACAAGAGATGCCGCTGCAATGAGATTCTCTTATGAGGTCAAGTTATAATTTGGAGCTTCCTTGTTTCGCCAAGAGGGCACACATGCCAGGGGCTCTTAGGTGAGTTTCTACCGCCATCAGATCCTGAAGTCAAAATCAATCAAAGGGCTGCAGGAAATCCCACAAAAAAAACCAGCCTCTTCAGGGCAGCCAGCTGATTTAGATATGGCGTTTTGGGGGCCATTTCCCGTAGTCTTCACCGGCCGCATCCGCTCTGAGGTGCTTTCCAACATAGGGCAGGGCCACGAGCTCTCCGCCGGCTGCATCGTGGGCGGCCGGTCTCTGGAGGAGGCGAGGCGTTTTTTTTTTGCCGTGGGGAGTCGGAGGTTTTTGGCACGGAGCGGCGACTTTTTGGCAACTGCTTGGTTTGCGTCCAAGGGTTTGGGCGAGAGAAGTTTGAAGAGGGAAGGAGAAGCAGCTCAAGTTTTTCTTCACAGGCTGCGTTTGGATCGTTGGGGCGAGCTGAAGAATTGTCGGATTTCAGGAGCAGAAGGCCGTGTCTGAGATGAGCCTGTTGGTGGCGACGCCTGGCAGGCGCGCAAATGGCGCCTCACACCTGGTGTTTTTCGAGTCAGGAAGGGAAGTCAGAGCTTCTTGCGGACTTGAAAGGCGGGAACCCATCCCTCCAATCTCCCCCAACCCCAGCCCGCAACCTCGATTTCGTGCCATAACCCTCCCATCCTCGGACCAAAACCCCAGCCAGGCTGCTGCAGCACCTGGACGAGTCTCCTGGCTTCGATGCCTCGAACCTCCTGGCCTTGGCCGCTTTCCGCCCGTTTGTCGCCGGGGGTTGCGTCTCGATCCTTCGACTCGGCTTCGGCTTCGGTTTCGCGCGCCGCGCGCGCGCATCGCGCAGCCGGTCGGGGCTCGGTGTGCCTTCCAAAGACCCGCAGAGTTGGTGGCTGGTGGCTGGTCGCCACGAATCTCCGCCGCGCGGCTGTGACTTGACACAGGTTCTTCGGGCTACACTGGAAAACGCGACTTGGACGTGTCCCGGGCCCCAAAATGGGCACACGGCCAGGTGATTGACGAGGCCGACCGGATCATGGACTTCGGCTTCCAGGAACATGGGCCTTTAGCTAAAGCCCAGCTGCACGAGGCCATCCCCGAAGACTTCGCTGGGTCTGTTGGGCCTGTGGCCGTGGGTGGCTTTAGCTTTCCACCAGACTTCCCAGAAGGACCAAAGGGCGCGGAAATGCCCAGGAGACCATGCATCATATCCTCGGGCACCTCCCAAGTGCTCGGCAGACGCTGCGGCCTCAGGACTTCTGAGAGACAATTAGTTTGCTTGCGTGCTGGCTTGCGTGGTTGGTTGCTTGCTTGGTTGGTTGGCAGGTTGTTTTTTTTGCTTGCTTGGTTGGCTGGTTTGTTTCTTTGTTTGTTTCTTTGTTTGTTTATTTGGAACGAGCGTCCAGCTATCTATCACCTCACAACGCGACCATCACGCAATGCTGCACCGCCCAGGACCCTCGAACAGCATTGCTTGGCAACAATCTTGCAAGACCCTCTTGCTTAATGTGTCCAAATTCACATGTATGAGTTTCCTTCTTTCCTTCCTTCCTTCCTTCCTTCCTTCCTTCCTTCCTTCCTTCCTTCCTTCCTGTTTTTTCCCAGTGGTAGGAGAAAGGGGCGCCTGTTTTGGCAGCTTTTCTTGTTTAGGGAAAGCCCCGTCTAGAACCATCCGGCGCTTCCCTTCGAAAGCTTGTCCATGGCCCAGAACCTCAGAGCTCCAGATCTCTCAGCTTGCAGAGACTCAGTGGCTTCCAGTTGGGAAAAAGAGAAACGGGCGCTGGGTTTGACCCCCCTCAGACTCAGGCTGCTGTTCTCTGCCACGCTCCATGGCAGCGTGCATCGCCTCAGCCGCGCGGCCTTGCGGGCGCCGGAGGCGCGGTGCTGCCTTGTTGGGTTGGTTTGTTTGTTTGTTTGTTTGTTTGTTTGTTTGTTTGTTTGTTTGATTTGCTTGCTTCCTTCTTTTGTTGCTCTCTTGTTTGTTTGTTTGTTTGTTTGTTTGTTTGTTTGTTTGATTTGCTTGCTTCCTTCTTGTGTTGCTCTCTTGTTTGTTTGTTTGTTTGTTTGTTTGTTTGTTTGTTTGTTTGTTTGTTTGTTTGTTTGTTGGTTTGTTTGTTCGTTTGTTTGTTTGTTTGTTTGTTTGTTTGTCTGTCGATTTATGTCGTCCACGTGCTTGGGGTAGCGCCCGTTGAGGTGATATCCGTCCACCATGACGCGAAGAGCCGCACGCCGGACTCTCTGAAGCGTTTGCCTCAGATCGAAGCGTTCAGTCGTTCCCGGGGTTTCATGGGGATGACCATCCAAAAATTTTTTTTGGCAATCAACAAAAAACTTTCAGCCATCAACAAAAAACTTTTTTAGCAATCAACAAAAAACTTCCCACAATCTCACTCTGCTGCTTGTATATTCTGTTCTGTTGGTTGGCATTTGATTTTCTGGTTCCTTGAACACCCCTGGTCCCGTGGTCCTTTGGTCCTGGTCCTCCACTTTCCTGGTCCTCTGCTCCTCTGGTCCCTTGGTGCCTGGTCTTGGTCTCCTGGTCCCTTGGTCCCGGTCCTGGAGCCCTTGATCCTCTGGTCCCTCGCTCCTTTGGTTATCTTTGGCCTCTGCTCTGTTCTTGGTCCCTTCATCCTTGCATTTCTGGTCCTCTGGTCCTCTGGGCCCTTGGTCCTTTGGTCTCTTGATCCTTTGGTCTTTTGAGTTCCTCTCTGTTTGGCTTTTGCAGCTTTTTGTTGGGTTTATGCAGCTTTTGCGGCTTTGGCTTTTCGCATCCTCTTCATTACCAGTTTCTCTCAGGTGGCCTTTTTGGCTTTGTGGCTTTTGGCGGCTTTCTGGCTTTGGCTTTTTGCATCCTCTGCTTTCCCAGTTGGTTTTTGGCCGTGGCTTCCTGCATCCTCAGTTCCTCTTGCCCCCCTTTCAATTGAAATGCCACCCCTATTCAAATCATCACTTTTTCGATCATCATGGGGGGGCCAACCCCCCACTACTATGTAGATTTTTTGCCCCTCATTGAATCATCACTTTTTCGATCGTCCCCCGCCCTAATTGAATCATCACTTTCTGGATCATCATGGGGGGGCTGCCACCCCCCAACCCCCCCCGCTACTTTTAGATGTTTGGCCACAACTTGAATGATCACTTTTTCGATCATCCTGGGGGGGGCGGCCCCCCCAACCCCCCCGCTACTTTTTAGATTGTTTGCCCCCTCGCTGTTGTTTTTTTTTTTTATCTTGCCCCTAATTGAATCATCTGTTTTTCGATCATCTGGGCGGGGGCTGCCGCCCCCCCCCAACCCCCGCCCCCCCGCTACTTTTTACATTTTTTACCCCTAATTGAATAGTCACTTGTTCGATCACCATTGGGGGGGCGGGCAGCCCCCCCCCCTACTTCTCAGATTTTTTGCTCACTATCATCGTGCCGCCCCCCAAACCCCCCCGCTACTTTTTAGATTTTTTGCCCCCTCGCTGGTTTTTAGATTTCTTGCCCCCTAATTGAATCATCAGTTTTTCGATCATCATGGGGGGGGGCTGCCGCCCCCCCCAACCCCCCCGCTACTGATCCAGAAAGTGATGATTCAATTAGGGGCAAAAAATCGAAAAGTGCGGGGGAAGTTGGGCGGGGGGCTGCCGCATGACGATCGAATGATTCAATTAGGGGCAAAAAATCTAAGGGGCAGTTTTAGATTTTTTGCCTCCTCGCTGGTTATTTAGATTTCTTGCCCCTAGTTGAATCATCAGTTTTCGATCATCATGGGGGGGCTGCCCCCCCCCCCAACCCCGCCGCTACTTTTTAAATTGTTTACCCCTAATTGAATCATCACTTGTTCGATCACCATGGGGCCTCCCAACCCCCCTGCTACTTCTCGGATTTTTTGCCCCGGGGGCTGCCACCCCTCCCCCACAACCCCCCCGCTACTTTTAAGATCGGTGGCCCCAAATTGAATCATCACTTGTTCGATCATCATGGGGGGTACGTTGTAAATTTGTTTGCCTCTAGTCGAATCATCACTCCCCCGACCACCACTGGGCGGGCTGCCGCCCCCCCCCCCCCAAGCCCTCCGCTACTTGTTGGACTGTTGGCAGAGATTAAAATGCAACCCTAGTTGAACCACCACGTTTTCGCACATCATGGGGAGGCTGTTTTTACCATCATGGACCCCCTCGCTGCTTTTTAACATACATACATACATAAATACCTACCCCGGAACTGGTGATGCTGAGGATGTAGGAATTTGATTTGCTGGTGATGCTGGGGATGTTGGCTGGACATGCGGGGGATGTTGAAAACGATGCTGGTGATGTTGACGGGCTAGTGTAAAAAACACGTACACTTCGTGAGAAAATGCTTTAAAATACAGTATTTGCTGGCCAGTCCGGAAAACAAAAAAAAGTCCCAAAACATAACACAAAACAACTTAAATCTCGACCCTTTTTGTTTGTCTGTTCTTCTTCGTCTCTCCTGCTCTATCTCTCCTACTCTGTTTTTCTATTTCCAAGAACATGAGGAAACCCCGGCCTATATGTCTTTGTCGTGTAAACGCCCAAACCATCGCAAAAGAGTAACCCCGTAGCTACAGCACGTGTGATGAGACCGTGCCCGTGCGCGTGCACTGCGTGTTCCTTTTGATACACACGTTTCTCAGTAAATGCAGCCCTGAGTGCATTAAGTTTTTTCTTGATGGCTAAAAAAGTTTTTTTGGGATTGCTAAAAAAGTTTTTTTTATTGTTAAAAAAGTTTTTTTTTTATATCCTTCCCGGTTTCTCCATCCCTCTGCCTTTCTCGTCTTTAAGTGGGGACGGGTAATTGGCGTACCCAGTTGATCGCAAAGGAGAGGGTTGCTGCTGGAATGAAAGAGGCTTACCATCCCAGCTCTTTCCTCTCCTTCGCTCAATGTCTTTTCTGTCAGCAGAAAGGATATGACCCTTGTCCTTTCCTTCGGCCTCTTGACGTGGGAAGATGGCAAGAGGGCTGAAGCACAAAGAGCCCCGGGGTTTGTGGGGATTGTCATGAGCCCGTCAAAGGGAATTCAGGCAATGGACAAGGATTTGCTGCAGAGGGAACCTGACCCTGGATATTGCACAAGGAGTCAGATTGCCAAGGCAGACCTATATGGTCATCCCTTTGGAGAAGAAGGTGGACACACTCTTTTCCTTCCTGCGCTGGTGCCTCAGTTCAACGCCTCTCAACAGGTGCGCAGGGAGGGTGTACTGCCTGAGGTTCGCATTCGCAGAAGAAGATCATTGTCTTTGTATCCACCTGCAAGCAAGTCCGGCCGGACCCCCAAGGGTCCGTTTCTTTAGCGCTGCACCGATCACTCGCATTGCTGTCTGTGGCACTCGCAAGGTGCCTTTGGTCATTGCAGGCCTTGTGATATGGGGCTTGATCGATCTTCCTTGGGCCCCGGCAAATGACGATGGGTAGCTTTTCCCAATCCCGGCCCCCGTTCATCAGACCCTTTGATTTATTCCCACGAGGTTCTTCTACGAGAGCTTCCACAAGCTCAGACCTCAGCGAGAGAACTGGGGGACCATGGACCCGATTTTTCCGTGATCCCGGCGCATGTTTGGAGGGTGACCAGTTCTTGGGTGTTCAGGACGGATTGTTAGGGAAGGCGATCGATCCGCCAAGCCCGCAATCAAGGCAGTTCTTTTTTTTTGGGGACGGCAGCTCCAAAAGTGAAGGCCCCCTTCTCGCCCGGGCAAACCATTGCCTCAAACCGGGGGATCTTCTGGAGTCAATCGCTGGTATCCTTTCGTTTTTTTAATCCCCCACTGAAAAGGTGTTCTCCTCCCCATAGAAGGGTACCCTCAAAATTATCCCCCCTTAAAAGCGTACCCTCAAACAACGACTCCATGTGTTCCTTTGAATGTTCCAACCGCGGTGTAAGCGATGCCCCTCCGCGCGGTCTCCGGTCTTCCAGCGCAGGCTGAAGCCGGGGCCGGCGGTGATGGAGCTGCACGGGCGGCAGAGCTTGACCAAGCGGATGCTCGTGTTCCAGCAGTTCATGGAGCGCCCGGGGCCCCGGTTTGGGGCTGAGGGGCTCACACTTAGAACACAGGGTGCCACACAAATCACCCGCTCTAAATCAGATGGTACAAAGGAAAGATTGGTTGTCTGAATACAATGTGTTGCAGGAACCTTGTAAGTCAGATCTGCCAGATTCGCTTTGGTTTCAAGTGAGACGCCTGGGGAAGGAGTGGAAAAGGGGGGAGGGGTCCCAGAAAATGGGTTAGATTTGATGAAACCAAAGACGCGGGGAGGGCTGCTGGGCACGGGCGAGTTGGAGTTTTTTTTTTTGGCAGGTTCACAGCCTTAAGAAACACACCGAATGCGCCATTTTCTGTAATCAGTATTCTCGCTAAATCTAGCCAGTTCCATGTTGTTGCTGCTACCAGCAGCAGCTTCCAGCAAGACCAACCTGCCCGTCAGGCAGCTACCTTTGAACCAGGAGTGGACAGGGGTGCCACTGCGAGGTGTAAAGCCCGGCGAAGCTTTGGAAAAGCTGCATTGGTCACAGAAATCGATGCCAAGCTCGCATTGGCGGAAAGTGCTCTGTTTTTGTTTTGTCATGCCCATTTGCCAATCTGGACATTCAATGAGCACGAAAGAAACTCGCTTGCGAACATCGCGTGGGCCGGATAGGGTTGCCTAGGACGACTGAATGGCTGACTTCGGCTCGGTTCAGGTCTGGTTTCGGTTCAGCCAAGGCTCGCTAGCGATTGCTTGGGGTCCGTTTAGGGTAAGCTCGATCGCCAGGGATCGCCGGATCAAGCGCGAAAAGGGATCGCTGATCTGTTCATCAACTGAAGCGAGACATTGGCCGGTTACTCTTTGGGGAGTTTTTTACAACCGTCCAATCCTGCAAGCCATCAATCATGGCATCTGGTTTCAGCGCCACCCATTTGTTTTTTCTTCCGAGAACCCTCAAGAACCCTCATTCCAGTCGGGAAAAACGGAAGACGATCTTGGGGCGTCCGAAAGGGGATGTAGATGGATACCCCAACATCTAAACCCTCTTCCAAACTCTCTTCCAAATCCTTTTGATGGAAGTAGGTGCTCTCTTCCAAACCCTTAGCCTTCCGAGGGGAGCGTGCTGTGGCGCTCTTCTGCACCGACATCGCGGCGCGCGGCTGGGGGGCCGAGGGGCCCACCTTTTTGGCGATTGTCTCACGGGAAAGGTCACCGCGAATTCTAGGGGGTCCTCTGTTTGTCCTCTATTTGGATACAAACCCACCCCCCTTTTGGTTGCTAGAAGCCTCGTCTTTGAGGGTGCCCTTTAATGATGAGAAATACCGATTGCGGATGCGTGTCAACCGAAAAACAGCCGATGCAAGACATTTCGAAAAACAAATCTAGGCAGGATTAGGACGCTGTGGCTTGAGCAACCGCGCTCAGGGTTCGTCGTGAATATACGCAATCACATGAGCCTGATCCCTCCTGCTGATATCAGCCCGCTTCCATTTGCTCTGCCTGAAAGAAGAATTCAGTTTCCAATTCTGACCGCCAGTGGGCGATATCAGTGTGGGCTGACCTCCTCAACTACAACTGGCACACAGATTGCCCACTTCTATGCGGATTTCCGTGCAAGTGCTTTTCCCAGTGATTAAGTGTCAAAATGGGAGGATCCGACAAATGGTGGCTTTCCTTGCGGTGTCGCTTTAGGCATACCCAAAAGGGATATACCCTCAAAGAACACAGGCTTCGGTAGAGAAAGAACATCAACAGGGGTTACAACCCGGTTTTTTTTTGATTCAAAACGGCGAAGCTGGCTCATGGACGAATCCATTTTACCGAGTGTCAGCCCAATGCGGCACAAGGGTCACAGGTTCGCGGCATTCCGCGCCTCAGATTTCATGTCCGGCGCGCTTGTCGTCCACAACTCCACTGAGTTGCCCTTCCCTCCTGACCAGAAGGTCTATTACAAGGGGTGAAATAATTAGAATGGGGTTTGGAGGTACCGGAAAGCTAAGTATGTCATGGCTATGAGAAGACCATGTTAGTGATGGTTTCCTGTTGGTTTCCCTTTGCAGGCACCCCAAAAGTACCCTCGAAAGGAGGGCGAAGGCCGATTGGCACATAGTTGCCCTTAGCCAGATTCCCTTAGAAACATCATCCAACTCGGGCTCAAAAGGCTTACCCAGCTTTATTTTGGTGTTCCAAAAGGGGTCCTGACACACTGGCACGTGGTGCGACATGTGGCTTTCATACGCCGTTCAAGGAACACACGCCATGCATCCATTGAGTTTCTATTTGGGTTTGTCTCAGGGACCCTCACCAAAAATGGGTTTGCTTTGGTTTCCCTTAAAGGGACCCGCCAAAATAGGGGTCCTCGCAAGAAATATGCGCCCATTTGCTTTAGCTGGCGCTCTGGTAAATGGGTAACACCCACTCGATGAGCCACGTTTTCTGTTGGATTTGACTGACGTCACCGCCAAATTCATGAGCCGTGCTGATTTTGGATTTGAAGCAGATCAAGCAGCAAGTGGACCCCTGATGAGTTAGGAGGGGCCAACAACCTCGAGCGCCCAGCCCGTGCCGTTTTGTTCTTTTTTGCTTAGGCGTGGACTTTCCGGCTGTCGACTGGGTCGTCCAGGCGCAAAGGGCTTGAAACCTTTCTGTCAGAACAGGCTCAGTCCAAATGCAGCAGGCGGACGGCGAAAATCCGATGGATGAAACCTTGTGAATATAGACAAAGAATGACAAAGACTTCCGCCTTGCAAACTGCTGGATAATCCTGGTGTGAGTTGGATTTGGTCCATCTCGATTGCTCACGACAAAAGATCTGGGTTATCAGGTGGACTGCCCAGACACCGTGGACTCCTACATCCATCGGGCGCGCCTTGATGCCTCGGGGGGCTGGGATGCCTTGGGACACATGCGATCTGTTTGGCCAAAGGAGCTGGTGGGGTGGAAGTCCTGCTCCGCGCAGTCAAGTTCTTCTTCTTCTTCTTTTTCCGGTTATTCAGTGCGTGTTTCAAAGGTTCCAACTTGCGACAAGTGCAGCAAAGTACTGAAGTCGTTTCAGTTTCGGTTGCGGTCTGCGTCAGGTTGGCCGCACAGCAAGGTATGAAAGCCGCGAGCTCAAGGGATGGGCATGGGGTGCCCAATAGGCTCGGATCCCAAGAGCTGTTTGGATATGTGTCGCAATGGGGGGGGGGAGACCTAAAATTCACAAATGCCCCTTTGTTCGCCCTCGCCTGCCCAAAACGGGTACCCTCAAAAGACACAGGCTTTTCGCGAGCTCCAACCAAAAGCATCAGAACGTTGGAAATCCCATATCTTGATTCGTGCCGGACTTGTTGCCAAAGTTCATTGGAGGGCGGCTCGTGGCTTCGTTGGGAAATGTTGGGTATTACTCGGTGCGGATGTCCATTTCGAGACGGGAAGCCTCCCAAGGTGCTGGTAAGTCGGCCTTGTTCCTACTTCCTTCGGAGAAAGACTTTGCTCAGAAGCTGGCCAAGGCAGGGATCCACTTTGGACTTTGGGCAAGTCCTAGCTGCTGTTTGCCTGCTTCTTTTCGGTGACTCACGCGGGTTCTGAAAATTCGGGGCCCTCCAGGTGGTTAGTTGTCCTTTGGTTTCGCTTTAAAGCCATCCAAAAAGGGTTACCCTGTTATGAGACAGACTCATACCCATTTCTGTGTGGCTCGGAAGCTTTCGGATTACTGGTGGATGTGGTTGGTCAAGAAGCAAAGCCTGTCGGACCATGCCTTGGCCTTGTTTGTTTGGCCTTCAACCTAGCTGGGATCGATCCCCAAGTCCAATTGCATCGGGGGAAAAAAAAACCCAACAACATCGTCCGGCTCTGAAAATGTTACCTGTCAGGCGCCCCAGCTAGGTTTTGCGCCACCGCGAAAATTCTCCGTGTATCGCCCTGGAACTTTCGGCCGACGTCAAAATCCAAAAATAGTCGTGGGTCAACACCAATGGTACCACTTTGGGGTAGGGATACCACCCATTTTAGTCGATCTATTTTAGTGGTTGGATTTGGATTCTTCACTGGGGGTATGATTTGGATGTTGACCCATGGCCAAATTCACAAAACCGAGCCAACGAGAAGAGTTCGCCAAAGCCAGGCGCGGGTCGAGGTGCGTGCGATCGCGCCGAAGCAGAGCAAGGTCTTCTCGGTCCAGCCCCAGCTGGAGCGAGCCCCAGCCAGGCAGAAACGGGGTTCCAATGTCTAGAAGAGACCTTGGCAAAAAGGAACTCAAGGACCGTGGCTCGCCTCGAAATGGGTCCTGGAAGACTTGCGACTGAGATGGTTTAGAAGATCGGACCCGTCCAGCCGATTGGGTTTGAAAGGACCGCCGAATGGCTTCTCTTTGGTCGAAGCTGATGAACTAGATGGGCTATTCGGGTCTATCCTTCGTTCCTTCACAGGCAATCCCGTCCGAATGGGTGTCTTCAAATCGGCGACCCCCCCAAATGGGTTTCCTTTTGGCTTCCCTTTAAACCCAGAACCAATGAGATAGACACAAATCCCCCCGCTTTCGACTTGAGGCCTCCTTATTGGTGGGCTCCGGGGAGATACGGCATTTGGCGCAGCGGGCGGTTGCCTCCTACCTGCGGTCTGTGCCTTGCCAAAAACCCGGGGGGGGGGGGCGGGGGGAAGGGGGAAGGCAACAGGGGGGCTGCTTTTTGGAGATATGGCTGTGGGTTAACACCAATGGTAGCATTTTGGGGCAGTTGCGACACCAATTTTAGTCTAAGTTTAGTTGGGATTGGGATGTTCACTGGGGGTACGATTTGGATTTCCCATGGCCATCGAAGTCACAGTTCCTGGGTTCTGCCCATTGGTTCCTAGGGGAAATCAGGGTCTGCAGGAGTTCAACATGTTTGCTAAAGGACTGGTTAGGATTTGTTTCTGCCTGCTATGCCCCAAACGTTCTGTATAGAGGTTTGCTCTAGTGTCTGCTCATGACTCAAGGGCATGGGCTGATGGTGCTGTTGTTTGTTTGTTTGTTTGTTTGTTTGTTTGTTTGTTTGTTTGTTTGTTTGTTTGTTTGTTTGTTTGTTTGTTTTTGTTTGCTTGTGTTTTCCGTCTGTCCACCCATCCGTCCATCACCGGTTGAGCCAGGCTCACATGTCACGATCAAAACCCGGTAGATGAAGGATAGAACCATGTTAGTTCTTTAGATGGTTTACCAGGTTTTGCTTATGATTCAATTGCTCACAATGTCCTGTCTCCAACTTGGCCGGTGGAGCTGAACAGCAAATGCGTCCCAGGCGTTAGCTGTAAGGTAGCTGGCAGCCTGACACAATGACCACTTCGCCGGACGAATTTTCTCGGACTTCCACAAACAATCACCAGCATGGACCAGTGGCACATGAATCTTCTGGGTCCCCCAGTAGTGCCCTTTTACCCCTTCTTTGCTTTGTAGAAGTTCATGTTCTCTTTGAGCAAGCCTTGTATCTTCTAGGGCTAGGGAGCGGCAGGGGGCGGTATGTTTGCTTTTAGCAGAGCCATTTTGAAAGCCAAGGTTCGTCTCATGAAGGACAAGGACATCTTCGACGTCCAGGTTTGGCGATGGCCGGGTTTGTTCCAGTCGCATGCGCCACACCATGGTCCCTTTTCCGATACACTACCTTTCGGATATGGGGCGTGGCTCATAAAATTTACGATCGGAGGGGCAAGCCGCAGGTCTTGGTGTCCATGTTTGTCCCACTTCCCAGGCCAAGCCCATCTTGGAGTTTTCCGGTTTTTTGGAGCCCACGGCCCTGGGAAACCGAGCACGGGGCGACGGAGTGATGGGTTTTCCCAGGCAACGGACACCTCGGCTTCCCGTCGAGAAACCTTTGGTTGGTGCACCAGCCCAGAAAAAACGTCGGGCTTCCGGAAGTTTAGAAGGAGCTTCCGCGTCGCGGACCTGAAGGGCAGACAAAATGAGTATGGCGCAAAATTAAAGTGTGCCATATTGGTTCCGCTTTTTGGAGCCACGGCTAAATGAAGTAAGAACCAATGCAGCGTTTCCCGCCTTTTTCTTCCAGCTTGAGGGGCGCGGACAGCTTTGGCCATGGTGGGTCCCGACAGATAGCAATGCTGATCACGGTCCAAAAAAGCCCTTGATGCCATCCCAACATATTGCAAACCTGGGTATGAGCTCTTGTCAAAAAGCCCCTGGGTATGTGTCAAAATGCAAACATGTGTCGTTTGCTTTTGGATTCCGCTTAAAAACCAGCTCCAAAAACCCTCCAAGAAGCCCAGGGTTGACCCGTGCCAACCTCACGTACAGTTTAGGTGTTATGGGGAACGAAGGGGGTGGGTTCCTTTTGTTGGCAAACCAAACTTTGAGCCCCGCCGACGCTACAAGACTGCTTTCTCACATGAGTCTTACGCGAGTGGACGCGTGCGGCTGCGCGAAGCCTGACTTGGGAAGGGGCCTTTCCCTTGACCTCGTTGGCTCATGTGTGCGGAGACAATCCGTTTTCTTACGTCCAGCACACACAGCTTCTGAACTGCTTCCATTGCCACACGCTTGCGGCCTGCGCGTGTAAAACACACGTAACTGGGTGTGCCTGAGGGCATGCTACGGACGCAATCAAGCTCTTTGCTGCTGATGTTTCTTGTTTTGTTCTTCTGCTTGCGCTTTTTCCTTTGCAAAGATCGCCGCAGGGCCTCCGTTCGTTCAAGTTCTCTTGCCAACCCGGGCACGTGTGTAGTTGTTTGTTGGCAACTTCTACTTTGGAAACAACGCACTTGCTCGATTGTTTTTCACCGCGCGCCCCTGGAGGCTGATTGTTCTGCAACTCGGACCTGGCCGTATACCCGCTACTTTTTTGTTTGTTTAACGGTTTGAATGGCATCCATTGTTTCCATGGCTTCCATTTTTTTTCTATTGTTTCCAAAGTTTTCATGGTTCCTGTGCTTTCCAATGTTTTGTAGTTTCCATGGTTTCCGTGTTTCTATGGTTTCCATGTTTCCTATGCTTTCGGTGAGTGTTGCACAATGATTGCGATTTCGGTCTATGTGCTGTAAAACTATCGCGATTTCTGCCCATGTCGTTGGACAATGATCTTGGACTCGCGTCGGTTGCAAAACCCGCTCCTGCTGATGCTTCTTGTCATTTCTCTTTGTGTGCTTTTTAAAGGCTTGTCTGGCTGCGGATGTGCATAGTTTGTTTGCAACTTCCTTTGTTTCTTCTGTGGAAAGGCCCCCAGAAGGATGGACGGGGGTGCTACCGTTGGAATCATGCTCTTTGCTGCTGATGCTTCTTGAACTGTTCTTTTGTTTTCACTCTTTCCTTTGAACGATCTCCGGAGGACTTGAGTAGGTGCCTTTGGGCTTGCCTCCGTTTGTTCGTGTTTGCCAGAAAAAGTCGAACACCCCAAGGTTCTCACGCGACTGTGTTCCGCGCCCCCTCGTACGCAAGGATTTAACTTGCGAATGGGGAGCGCCTGGGAATAAGCCGGCAGCGCAAGGCCCCCCCCCCACAAAGTCCAGATTAAAGGTGGAGGAAGGCTGCATTTCTTTGTCCGACACGCCGTTTGTGCTCGGATATTTTGTGATATATTTTGTATTCAAGAACTTGGGGTCACTTCCATTTGCTTAATATATATATATATGTATATATGTATACACATATATATATATATATATATATATTCCGTTTTTGGTCAAAAAGAGAATCAATTTCACTGCTGCGCATATCTTCTCATTTTTCCCAGAAAAAAAAACGGAAAAACAAACAACCACATGGAAGATCACACATTTCGGGGGGGCTTTGCCAGCGTCCCGCGCTTTGGAGCGCCTTCAGGCGGTGTCGAAGGAAGCCTTCGCCGAGTCCTTGGGCCTGGCGGACGTGCCGGAGCTCGGGGCGGACTGGGAGGAGCGACGCGCGGCGCGCGGCGCGCGGCGCGCGGCGCGCGGCGCGCGCTTCGGGTCCCGGGGAAGAGAAATGCCCAAGAGATCGGCTCCCCAAGTGGCAGGGGGAGCCAGCTGTGGCGCTTGGACGACAAAATCCGGAGTTTTCAGCTTCGCGCCAGATTGTTGTTGTTTTTTTTGTTCCTGGTTGATTTGGATTGAAAATCGGTTGGGCGAGTGCTGGTTTGCCTGGTGGTTCAATCACATACCAGGGCCATCTATTTTCCCAAAAAGGACACCTATGTGGGTGTCTCTTTTTTCTTCTTCAGGGAATCCTGGCTTGAGGTTGCTGCTACACATGTTTTTGAGGGGTTCGTTTTGAGGATGTTTGTTTGGGAAACCTACAGGACACTTGTTTTTCGATGGGCTTTCGTGTTTCGAGAGACGCCTGCATTTGGGGCGCATGAGGGTGGTTCCGGCCCTATGTGTTGCAGAGGGTTCTCATCAGCATTCCCGATTTTGGCTATTTCCAATATTCGTCGGAATCTCCATAACACACAACAGCAATTCAGAAATGTCCGTTTGCTCCACGACAGCAATCCTGGGATTGTCAGGCGGATGAGGACACGGAGCGCAACAAGCTCAAGAAGCGAAAGAACCAGTCCGCACTGCAGAGGCCAAGTCTTCAGCTTGGTCCGTGGCTCAAAATTAAACGATCGGAGGGGCAAGCCGCAGGTTTTGGTCCATGTTTTTCCACTTCCCAGGCCAAGCCCATCTTGGAATTCCGGTTTTTTGGAGCCACCGCCAGATCCAGGACCCAAGCTGGTGGTTTCCTTGGGACACCTCGGGAAAAACAATTCCGAAGGCTCAAAGAGAAGATTCGAGCGCGGAAGCAGGCAGGATGGGAAGCCCAGCTGTTGCAAGTCCGTCAAGGAATTGTTCTCTGGCCGGGTTTCGCTGGGTGATTTCCAGAACCCAAGTCCCAGACCGCCCATGAGCACTGTGATATGATGGGCACCCTTGACGAAACAGTGCATTTGCGGTAAGTCGTCCAACTTTTTGTGGCACAGGGATCTCGGGACAAGCCCTGTCGAGGTGAAAGACCAGGGTGCTGTGCGGAAGGAGGAGGCGCGCATTTGCGGAAGCACGCGGCCTTCAGCCCTCCCGCCCTGATTGCTTGGCCAGGAGGAGGAGGAAGAGCGGGAGCTGCGGAGGGAAGGCGATGGGGTTGGAGCACTGGACATGTTTGGCGTGTTGGCATGTGAGAGGAGTGGCCAAGCGGCCAAGAAAGCAACCAGTTGAATGGCTGGTTCCTGTTGGTTTCCTGGTTCGGATATACCGATTTCCATGGCCATGGCTCTTAGTATATGGGTGTATCTCAGGAAGAGGGACCCCGGTGGTGGTTCATTTTTTGCTTTCCATTCAAGATCAACCCAAGAAGGGTACCCGATTTTGAGACATTATGGGTATGGGTCAAAAATGTTCACCACCAGGGGACAGGTTTTAGTCCTTGGTTCTATTTCCCAGGGCTCCATCTAAGGGTTACCCTATTTTTGACAACCACAGCCATATGGAACCGAGGCAAGAAGAAGGTGGGGAAGTGGGAGCGGCGCCAGCGCCGCATCGCCGCCGCCTCCGCCGCCAGCCGCGCCGAAGCGGGGCTTCCTGACCCGGAGGTGGGCGACGAGGAGCGAAGAGCTTCGTTGTGGCCGCGGGTTGCGGCCCCATTTTGGGGCGGGTGCACCACCCATTTTAGTCGATTTTAGTGGCGATTGGTTGCTTGTGGGATTGGGCTTTTGGGGGGAGAAAATGAAAAAACAGCAAACGCAGCATGTGGGGGGTCGCCTAAAGCGGAGGGGAAAAAACTCCTCTGCTTTTTTTTGGGTGCGTTGAAAAAAAGCAAAAGGCCATGGGTTGCATAAGCTATGGCGATCCCATTTTGGGGCGGATGAACATCCATTTGCCACCAATTTTGATGTTCACCAGGGGTACAGGGTTGTTCTTCTCCCATTATTTTCAACCATCATTCTTTTTCAAAAACCAGCTTCTTCTTTTTTCTGGGTTGTTAGATGGTTTTCTGAGAAGAAGGATCCCTTGAAAGAATGGGGAAGTGTCCCCTAGAGTTGTGGGATCACTCGGGGTTGTTCCAACCACTTCTGTGATACTTGTGGGAATCTACCCCTTCAGACTGCGGGGTTAGTCTTTTGGAAGGCCTTTTTTGTTGTATCACAGAAGTGGTCATTTCCTACAGCCCTGTTCCTTTGTGTTCCTTTGAAGGGAAGACGCAGACAGAGAGGCTTTTGGTTTGTATCAGCTATCCAAAAGATGTGTGTGTGTGTGTGACCATGACGTTTTGCCTTTCGCTTCGCAGGGCGCCGCTCGCCTCGTCGTTAGCGCCGCTCGATAGGAGGACCTGCTCCAGCCAGTGGCGCCCTCGGCAGAGGCGCCGCTGCCGGCTCCGCGGGCCAACAAGAAGTTGAAGCTCAAGGATGGCAAAGCGCTGCAGGCGAGAGCTGCTCGGAGGTGTCGGGCGCGAGTCGTTTTTCCCCACCCGACAGGAAGGGGTTGTTAGATTTTATTTTGGAATCCGCGTTTGCGATGCTTCTACACCACGCCCCCACCCAGTATCCCGCCAGAGCAGCTCGCCAGTGGATCCCGCCAAGTATCACGCCAGAGCAGCTCGCCAGTGAATCCCGCCATATCCCACGCCGAGTATCCCGCCAGAGCGGCTCGCAAGTGGATCCCGCCGAGTATCCCGCTGAGTATCCCAGAGTAGCTCGCCAGTGGATCCCGCCGAGTATCCCGCCAGAGTAGCTCGCCAGTGGATCCCGCCGAGTATCCTGCTGAGTATCCCAGAGTAGCTCGCCAGCGCATCCAGCCTTGCATCGCACCATAGGAGTATCCCGCCAGACTCGCTAGTGGATCCCGCCAAGTATCCCACCAAAACAGCCTGCCAGTAAATCGCGCCGAGTATCCCGCTGAGTATCCCAGAGTAGCTCGCCAGTGGACCCGCCGAGTATCCCGCTGAGTATCCCTTGCCGGTGGATCCTGCCGTATATCCGGCCAGTATCGAGCCGGAGCGGCTCGCCAGTATTCGTCGATGACGCCAGTATCCCGCCAGAGCAGCTCGCCAGTCTGGTTTTGCTTAATGTCCCGCCCGGCACACAGTTGGGTTTACGTTTTATGTTGGTGCTTTCGTGTTTTGAGTGTAGCCTGAGGCTCGGAAAGGGTGATGCTTTTGTGTTGCTTTGGGTTGCGAATAAGCAACTTCGCTTAGTCCCCATCGGGCTTCTTTTCGGAAGGAGCTTGGCCTTGTGAGTGTGGAGGGTGGGGATTGCTCGAAGCGAAGTATTTTTTTTTGCACAAAAAAAACTGCCGCGGGTCAGTTGAGTCACAGTCAAAACTGGGGCAATTGGAGGGGAGTATGGGATCCCAGCCATAAATGGGTGCAGCCGCCTTTGCAGTTTTTTACATGCTGGGTGCACCATTTTAGTACCATCAGCACGTCGCCTCCCAGGCGGCTGGAAAGCACACCTTCTTCAGCAAGGACGGCGCCAAGCAAACCTCCGAGCTGGCCCAGCCGGGGCGCTCAGCTCTTTCAGACCGGCATCGAAACGGGGGTTGATCCAAAGGTCCGTTTACATGGACGACCATGGTTCCAATACAAAGTGCTATTTTCCACTAAATGGGAAAAGTTACCCATGGTCAAATTTGGGGCCGACCGGAATATTGATCAACCCTCAACTGGTCTAAAACGGCTTTTCCTTCCACGCCCGGTGGATCCACTCCCGGTGGATCCACTGACGCTCGGGGTCACTAACCCAGCGCCAAATCACCATGTGCTGATGGCCCTGGGCCTCTTTGGCACTATTCTTTTGCACGCGCATGCAAAAGCACCGTGTTTTTTCAACCCTGGTGACACCAGGTCTTATCTGTGAGCTGCAGAGATAGATCCCTTATGCCCGCTGAGCCCGTCGCGCTCTGAGGGTGGCGGAGGAGCTCACTGAGGGGCGAGATGAAGGCCAAGTGAGCTGCCAGGGATTCAGCGTGATGCGCCCGGGGAAGATTTCCATGGAAGCGCCCAAACGTTGGATCCAAGAATCAAGCCCAAAACCGAAAAACGGAGACAACTTCGGCTCCATAGGTGTCCTTTTTGTTTGGAAAACTAGATGGCAATTCCTGGTTTACCTGGTGGTTCAATCATCCACCAGAAGAAAAAAACAAACAAACATCTACTTCCCCGAGCACCACCCATGGTTGACTTTCTCTATGAATCCACCCCAGCTTTGTAGAGCATGTTTTTGGGTTCGGGGAGTTTCTCACCACTGGAAGGGGACCTGAAGGCCTATGTTCGGCTCTCCGAAGGCCGCCGCGCCTCGCGCGCAGAATCAGACCGTCAGGCGATCGGGCGAGCTTTCTGGAGCGTGTGGCGCGCGATTTGGCCGCCGCCTCAATGAGCAGCTCCGCTCCCTTGCAGCAGGGTCACTTAGGATCTCCCAGGCTTAACCAGAAAAAAATAGAAGCTTTTTGCGAGGGGTTGGCAACTGATCCATTGCCAGACTGGCTATCCTTGGTGGCCGCGTGATCCTTTGGGTTTCCATCATTTTGCCGTCGACCAACAGCAAGCTCTGATGCCATACATACATGCAAGCATACGCACATACATAATGGTGACAACTGATTAGTAAACCCCCCCCTCCCCCCCCCCCCCGTTCAAGGTCGACAAGGTTTGGACAAGTCCCAAAAATTGAATTGAGATATTTGGGAGGACCCCCCTGATTACTCTGGAGCCCCCTCTTACTTCTGGTCCCTTCAGAGCAGTAGGACTTTAAAAGGCAACAGCACATTTTTTTGGTTTTGAGCCCAAAAGGGCCCTGATTAATCGCGGGGGGTTTCCTGTTAATGAGGGGGGACTGGCCTCCAAGGGGGGTCCCCTTTGTGAGCTTGAAAACCTTGTCATTTTAAACACATTTTAATAAAGAAAATGCATTTCGCGGGAAGCAATTTTTTGGGAAAAACTTGAGGGGTTCGATAGTGACTTAGTATTGGTGGGTTTAAGCACAGACTAAGCAAATACTAAGCAAGAAGGAAAGCACCTTTTCTGGCAGGTTTTTGTTGGCTTGGGGGCTGCAGAGGGATACCTTTAATCAGGGGGGGTTTTGGGGAGGGCCCAAAAATAATTGGGTAGGTTTTTTTTGGGAAACCTTGTTGGCACTTTACTTTAGTATTGGTGAGAATCTGGGGGAAGGGGGAACCTTTAATCGGGGGGGTTTACTAATCGTCTCCTGACATTACCTATATATATATATACATACGTGCGTACACACATACACACATACACACATACACACATACATACATGCATGCATGCACACGTACATGTACGCATACATACATACGTACAGGCATGCTACCTACATTCATACGTACATGCATGCATACGTACATGCCTACATACAGACAGACATACGTACATGACATACGTACATGGCATACGTACATACATACATAGATAGATACATACATACATACATACATACATACATACATACATACATACATACATACATACATACATACATACATACATACATACATACATACATACATACATACATACATACATACATACATACATACATACATACATACATACATACATACATACATGCGTACATGCGTACATGCGTACACGCATGCATACATACAGACATACATATGTACACACATACATACATGCAGACATGCATGCATACATACACACACATACACACATTTGCACGCACACACACACACACATACACAGATCAATGCCTGCAGATAGATTAGAGAGATAGACAGATGGATGGATGGATGGATGGATAGATAGATAGATAGGTAGGTAGGTAGATAGATACATAGATATATACACACATATATATATATATAGATAGATGGATAAGACACGATAAGACAAGATAAGATAAAGGTACGATAAATAGATAGATAGATAGATAGATAGATAGGTAGGTAGATAGATAGGATACGATAAGATAATATAAGATAATATAAGATACGATAAATAGATAGCTAGCTAGCTAGCTAGCTAGCTAGATAGATAGATATATAGATGGATCGATAGATAGAGAGGGGAGAGATATGCATAAATGGTACCCCACCCAATCCATACAACATTCTGTTTCTGCGGAATAGATATCTGTTTCCAGGGAGTCTGGTCAAGCTCTGTATTGCCATTCAGCTCCGCCCAGGCGGAGCGTGACACCTCGGATGCCGCGCTGAGCCGCGCGCGCATCTATGAGAAGCACCAGAAGAAGCGGAGGACGTTCTTTTACTTCAGTTCCCTTAGGGTTCCCATGAGTTTCCTACCGATTTCCACATGCTTTCCCACCAATGTCCAGTTCTTCCCACCTATTTTCATTGGTTTTCACAGCTTTGGACCTGGAGGGTAATCCTTGCCGCAGGAAGGAAAGGATGGCCCGGGGCGTACAAAGAGACGCCAGCGATGAGGAGGATGCGAAGCCTCCAGCAGGCCTGGAGACCGAGCGCCTCACTGCCATGGGTTCCGGCAGAATGGGCTGAAACATCACTGAGCTGAGGAGGTAACCCTTGGTTTCTCAGTAGTTTAAGGCTTCCATTGGTTACTTACTATGTAGGGGAAATGGAATTGGGTCATGTAAGGGCCCCGTTCTGGGCCTCTAGGGCTACTGGAAGTCTTTTCGTGCCTTTTGGAGGTGTCATTGGAGAGGCGTCAGGATCACGTGCAGGTGCCAGGGCCTATGTCGAGCGCTCGCCGTCGCCCTCGCCCTCACCCAGAAGGCCAGAGGTGAAGCCACTCCGGGCGAAGGCGCCTGTGAAGGCGGGGGCCGGTGTTTGTACTAGATTGCCCATCCAGTGCTCCATTTTGCCAAGGGATGTTAGGACTTCAACTTTTTCCAACTAATGGGTTTTCCGTATTAAACCACTGAAAGTTAAAAAACTATTGGCAGGGGAGCAGAAAGCCACCGAGTGTTGGGGGGCTTGTTTCCGCAACCGTGATTTTCAGGGCCCTTTCAGTTGCTGGTCCCATCAGTGGCTTTAGGTTTGCTTCGGGCTGCAAACCCCCAAGAAGTTAAGCTTTGTGCAGGGGGGTCGACAGCAACCAAGTTTGTTGGACAGTTACTCCATCGTTCCGGCCTTCGGTTTGCTTCGGGCAGATGTCAGGAGGACAAGCCGAAGTTTCTCGGCGATGACCTAGGGGACTTGGAGAGACAGGCGGGCGAGGAATTTCTTGCGAGAAGTGGGGAATGAGGGAACGAGGGAATGAGCCGTTTGGGATTCACGGAAGGAAAGCACCAGTTGGAGGGTTCTTGGGGTGATTCCCTTCGCCAGCAAGTGATTTTTCAGACTTTGCCATGGGGTGGGGGGGTGGTTTGAGGCGAGCACTTTGCAACCGGGAAGCTTGTAGACTTGTTATTAGGACCGCGGGGTTTTTCGCGGTTCAGCGGATGAAGCGATTTGTCCACCAGGCGCTGAGCAAGCTGGGAGGACTGTTCTCATAGCCGTCAGGAAGTTTCACCCAGGCAGCCCGGCAGCCCGGCTTGGAAAAGAACATGGCTGTGGGTCAAAACCGTTTTAGGATCCATTTTGGGCCAAGTGCACCACCCATTTTAGAACCTATTTTAGTGGTTGGATTGGGTCCCGTTCACTGGGGGTACGATTTGGGTTTTGACCCACAGCCACATGTTGCTCGTGCCGAGCAGCCGCGCTTTGGGCCTTGCGCAGCTTGCTTCTGGAGCTCAGCCTTGTGAGACGGGGTTCAGACACCTGGCCAAGGCCATCCAAGGCCATACCGAAGAACAGGCTTTGGTTTCGCGGGATCCCTGGGAATAGCAGCCATGGGGAGCTCAACGGAGATGTCGCCGGAAGTTATCTCCAGGGGTTGGGGGTCACGTTTGCGGCAGCTTTGCGGCTCCTGTTCTGGGCGGAAAACCCAGCGGAACGGTGGGTTCAAAGTGAAGGGTTCCCATTTGCCTCTCTCTGACCCGCCGGACGCGTTGGGGCGATTTGGATGGCTCAAGGGGCGTCATGGAGGTCCCGGCCCAATGGCGAGCCTTGCCGGGGGCCTTGCCCAAGCCCATCTGCTTCCTTGTGAGTCACGTCATCCAAACCCGGGTAGATCCGTTAAGGGACGAACCCAGCCACAAAGCGGATATTATTCGTAATCCTTGAAGCATGGTACCGGGTGAACCATTCTTGTATCGGGTTTTGATTATGACTCATGTGCGATTTGAGGCCCAGCCCCTGCCATGTGCAGGCAGGTGTCGTTTTCTGCCCATGGCAGACCGGTGGAGATAAGGGTGTGCTGAGGGTGCACGTTTTGGGTCCCACCTGACTGCAGTCCAGAGACTAGCTAACATGAAACCAACGCGGCCTGGTGGTTTGCGTCGCATTTGCAACCTTTGCAGGAAGGAGAACTTGGTGAGATCGTCACATGGGGAGGCCGAGTTTCACACCATTTGGTGTACTTCTGACCAGTAGTTAAGTAGACCGACTAGCCTATTGCACGCATGCATCTGATTTGCCAGATGCGATACAAAGGCTACATAGCCATGTTTAGGGGGATACTAGGGGAATCTAATGGGCATGTCTATCCCCCAGGCAAACCGAGCCGTTCCACCCCAACAAGGGGACCTCCCATCCACTGCCAACTTGACTGGAGGTTTCCGGAAGGCCATTTTCATTATTGACGGGCCCTTTTAGAAGGCTTAATGCTAGTGTGACATGACGAAGAGGGTTCTCCTCTCAAAAAGCCGAGTTCTTGAGAAGTCCTTTCCCTTTCCCGCCGCGGGCGGTCCCCCCCCCCCGCCGCACCCCCACCCTACAACGGGTTCCCCCGACCTGGCGCGTAGGCGCCGCCGGCCCTCCGGGCGCCCGCCAAAGCGGCGCCACGAAATCACCTCAGCTTTTTGGGTGTGGCGGTCCTGGGAGCGGCTTGGCTCGGGTTGGCTTTGCTGCGGTCGCCGAGGGGCGTGCAGGGTTTTGGGTGGGTACGTTTTGGGAGGGTGCATTTTGGGAGGGTACCTTTTGCCGGTAGAACAGAAGTTGGGGCATCACATAGGGAGCCCGAAGTGAGCATGTCCGAATTCCGTGAGTCAAGAGATTGATGTCCCTCAACAACCAAGGGATTTTCATCCAGGTCCCGTTCAGTGCTGGGAGAATTGGTATGCAAATATCCAGGTCTCGTTAAGTGCTGGAAGAAATGGTATGCAAATTGATGGTTGGCGAAAAGGCCACAGCATCGTCAACGCCGATGGACATAAAAGTCACACGGGGTGATGGCTAGAGTGGGCACCAACTGCAGACACTTTTGACGTCGTGAGGCTGTAGGATTCGTCCATCGACATGATTCACCGGAGAGACGAGCGTCTCAAGCCGGCCGGACGCACCAGAGACCTCACAGTTTCCTGGCCCGGAGCATAAAACTCCCTTGGTCAGTGTACACACAGGAGGTTTCATGTATGTCTTTTTTGAAGATACCCTTTAAAGGAAAACCACAAGGAAAGACGCCGTTTTTGGGGGTCCGCTTTAATTGACACATGCGCACATTTGACATGAATACTATGAAACCACTGTGGGCTTGGGCAATCATGCTGCATTTAAGGCATCCCGCCTGACCCGCAGCAAGACTTCGCTGCAGGCTCTGCTTTGGGCAACATGATGAGGTCTGCTTGGAAACGGTTTGATGCTGATGGCCCGCAGGTCACGAAGAGTCGCCAATGATCAGTCGTTGGGTTTCTGTGGCTCCATCTATGGGCTCCCATCCGTGGCGCTCCCTCCATGACATTCCCCTGTGGCTCCCTTATGGCTCTGACTCAGCTTTCTGCCGCAAGTGGAGCCGATAAGCAAAAAGCCAAGAAAACAAGGGATCCGTTTCCGCCAGGTGCGGCGCCGGCCCCTGCCGGTGGTCAAAGAGAAAGAGGTCATCGCCACCAAGCCGCTCGGAGATGCCTGGGCTTTGGGGCAGCGGGGTTCCCCCTGTCTTTTTCTCTATTTTTTCGCCTGGAAAGAAGCCTCACAGCAAAGAGCCTGGTTAGGGATGGAAGTGGCTTCCCCCTTTCTTGTCTTTTTCGGTCGGAAGGAAGGTCGGAAAGAAGTCTCGCAGATCTGAGCCTAGACATCCGACGCTGGTTGAGCCACACATCGATGAGCTCGTGTGGTCGGCAGTCTTCAGGGGGCTCGTTCATGCAAATGGAAATGCTTGGCCCTTTGAAGGGACCAACCCAAGAATCAGTTGGCCATGGGGCATAACCTATGGCGACCCCATTTTTGGGTGGATGAACCTCCATTTGCCACCCATCTTGATGTTCACCAGGGGTTTCCTGGGTTTTGACCACCACAGCCAGTTGCCCAAGCTTCTTCCGCGCGTTTCGCATGGAAACTCAGGCGCTTACCACTTTGGCAGCTCTCCGATGAGATGTGCGCCTGACGTTTGACGTGTTGCCTGGCGCGTGGCTTTGGTTTGTTATTCTTGAGCAAGTGGACGTGTCAACCCTGAGGCCAGTGGATTGCGAGTTCTGGCTTGTCAGAGATGCTTTTTAGCCAAGCCAAACAACATGGTGCCGAATCATGGATCATGACTCCCCTAAATCAGTGAGTCCTTGCCGAACCTATGCTCTTTGACCATAAGATGCCGGAGATGAATGACTCATCAACGGGGGAGGTACATGCAGCGACAGCTCGCTCCCGACCCAATGCAGTCCTGGACAGAGGCACGTGGGATGTTGACCTTCCCTAAGGGGTCTGGACGCTTTTCCGTTGGCCAGCCTAAGAATCGCCTTATCTGGACATTTGTGAGTGTACTTCCTTTTGGTGGGTGATGTTCACAGGGGTTGGAGTACTCTCTCTCTCTCTCTTTCTCTCCCACGAACATAGAATCTGACGGACCGTTTCCCTTTTACAGGAGTTTTCTGACAGCTTTGTGTTCCTGGGAGGGAGGGATCCCTCTACGGGTGATTTCCCTGGGTCACCTGAGCCGCATTCCGCTTGAAGCTCCGCCAGAGGTTCGCAGGGCTCAAGCGAGGATGAAGGAGCAGGTGATGGCAGCGACCCAAGTGACCATGACAAGAGCCTCAATCTGGACGCCTTCTTTGGCTTGGTTTTCAATTGCAAACAAAAGGAGCCCAACCATTCCGGGGGTACCTCCAATTGAGACACCCGCGGGTCGGGTTCCCTTTGGGACCCAAAGTGGCGCAGGTTCATTGAAGCCCAGTAAGTTGATCCAGAGGGGATATCCAACTTTTCGCAGGGCTGGCCTTGACGCCTCTAAAAAGGCACAGCCCTTGATTCCCTTAGAGGAAGCCACCAGCTTTGGAGGAATATTTGTTCACGTTCCATTTTAGTCCGGGCAGTAAGCTTGATGGGGTCCATCCCATGGACAAACATAGAAAAGACAGCAAGAACTCCTCCCCTCCATTTGATGCTGAATCATGTGAATCTGGGGAGCAATTCCAAATCATCCGAAACACGTGTGTGTGTGTGTGTGTGTGTGTGTGTGTGTGTGGGTGTGCGTGCGCGTGCGCGTGCGCGTGTGCGTGTGCGTGTGCGTGTGCGTGTGCGTGTGCGTGTGCGTGTGCGTGTGCGTGTGCGTGTGCGTGTGCGTGTGCGTGTGTGCCGTGTGTGTGTGTGTGTGTGCCGTGTGTGCCGTGTGTGCCGTGTGTGCCGTGTGTGCCGTGTGTGCCGTGTGTGCCGTGTGTGCCGTGTGTGCCGTGTGTGCCGTGTGTGCGTGTGTGCGTGTGTGCGTGTGCGTGTGCGCGTGCGTGTGCGTGTGTGCGTGTTTGCGCGTGTGCGCGTGCGTGCGCGTGCGTGCCGCGTGTGCTGTGTGTGCCGTGTGTGCCGTGTGTGCCGTGTGTGCCGTGTGCGTGTGTGCGTGTGCGCGTGTACGCGTGTGCGCGGGTGTACGTGTGTGCGTGTTTGCGCGTGTGTGCGCGTGCGTGCGCGTGCGTGCGCGTGCGTGCGCGTGCGTGCGCGTGCGTGCCTGCATGCGCGCGCGCACACGTGTGCGTGTGCGCGTGCGTGTGCGCGTGCGCGTGCGCGTGTGCGTGCGCGTGCGCGTGCGCGTGCGGGTTCGCGCGCGAGCGTGCGTGCGTGCGTGCGTGCGTGCGTGCGTGCGTGCGTGCGTGGGTGGGTGGGTGGGTGGGTGGGTGGGTGGGTGCGTGTGTGTGTTTTGAGGGTACCCTTTTCACCCTGGTTTCACGGAAGACCAAGAAGAACCCCACCCTTCTTTGAGGTGTCCCTATTTTTACACACACACACACACCCACGCCAACAAGACTTCCCGATTGAAAAACTGAGGCGCAGCAGTACAAAGATTTCCGGCGCATCGAGCGCGAGATCGGAGGCTACAGACTTCCACCGTGCGCCTGACATGTACTGGGTGTTTCTCAAGAAAACCCTGAAAAAGAGATGTTTCTTTTAAGTTCCCTTTTAAAACCCGCGGTCTACCATTTTGAGAATCCCCCACTGAGCTTTGCGGACCCCTACTGGGATAAGCAGATCTGGCAGATTGATGAAAATTGGTTTTGAAAGGGCACCAACAGGAAACTACCGATTTTGGTGTCCCCTGCGTTAGAGACAATCATGGTTCAAATCCAATGGTACCATTTTAAGATAGGTGCACCACCCATTTGAGAACCTATTTTAGTGGGGATGGGGATGTTCACTGGGGGTACGGGGTTTGACCCATGGCCACATCTTGCTGTGTAGCAAGATAACCAGCTGATTGCCACCGCTGTGTCCACTCTCTCACGAGGTTTGCGGTGTTTCCCCGAGCGAAGCAGCAGACCGCGTCAAGTTGGTTCTGCAGCAACTTCGCCATGCCCCTCATGTGCCAGGACATACCACATCAGCGAGCTTCGCGCCGGGATGTGGCTGGAGGCCAGCATCAAAACAGCACGCCAAGGGGCTAGATGCACGAAGTTTTGAGCTGCAAGACCTCAGGTGCAGCTGTCTTGGCCTGTTGGTGAAAGGAAATCTCGCTGACTTTGGAACTCCTAAGCTAAGATTCGAGGAGGCATCACACACGCAAACGCAAATTACATGGCAGTGCTGCTGAACACGGGGTACACGGATTCTTGCTGCCAGGGCCGCGTCTCTCAGACGCATGACAGGGGCGTGATGGTGGATGTTGGCGCCTACACCGAACAGGGAGAATGGACCGACGGGTTCTTGCACATGGGCCAGATCAAGGATGACGGAGGCTATGTTGCTCAGGCGGGATGCATTCTCCTCACCGCAGGCAGATTCGGCACATTGGCCAGGATAAGGTCATGGATTTTGTGCACATCGGAGAGCGCGTCCGCGTGAGAGTTGTGGAATGCATTCCAACAACCGGCATCCTGCGGCTCTCGATGCGAACGGAGGAGGAAGCTGAGCCAGAATTTAGCGCCGGCTTTCGGCGGGTGGATTTATGGCACAGGGGACAGTAGGCTACTTTAGGTGCCTACGTTGCACCATGTAGCTTGCACCTGCACAACGGGAGGTGTTGCCAAAGATCTGTTTCTTACATGTGTGCGCCTTGAACTCAGCAACTGGGGGCAGTTTGGTTGTTTGGGTCCCTCTGAGGATCTTCCCGAGCTGTTCTTGGGAAAGCCGCGCCCCTACTCCTGGCACGACATCGAGAAGGGTATGAAGGCGGCAGAGCTGTGATGCTGTGATGCGGTTGCCAAACCAAGCGCTGCTGCGCCTACGCTGTCGTGTTTGCCGTGACTCCATCTTGCTTACATGAGGTTGGCAGTGCACACAATTTGTGCCGGTGTGAAAAGAACCCTGGTGGACATTCGTCCATGCGTCTCATGGAGCCCCATTCACGGCTGGGAACCGTGCCAGGTGACCGGAATCATCCGCCGGGTCTGGGATAAGTGGGCGCTGGTGGACATTGGAGCCGACCGCTTGGCCCGTATCCACGCGAGGGAGCATCCCCGCGAGAAGAACGAGTGCGCCATGGGATTTCATGACTTCAGCCCTGGATTTAGGAGATACCACCTGGGTTTGAGTCTATCTTTCGGGATGCCAGCATGCAGTTGACTGCTCTGCTGCTTGCAATGTCGGACAGGTCACGAGCACGAACAAACAGCCGAAGTTCGCGCGGAGGTACGGGTTCTACAACTGGGACAGAATTCACAAGTTCGCGTGGACTGCCTTCCCCCGCGGAGCTCAGATGACCTTCTGGGTGGAGAAGGCGCTCGAGAGCGCTCCAGTTGGGTTGCTGGTTTTGCTGATTTTCACCCACCACGCTGTTTGCAATCCGTTGGATTCCGCGAGTCCCCATATTTCCCTTCAGCCGAAATGTTCAGCTTTCCAGATGAGGCCAAAGATGGCTTGGTGAACCTGTGCGCCAACAAGCCTCCCTCCACGAAGCTGTCGGACAAGGCGGTTGAGTGGAGCGGCAAGCTGTTGAGCGCAGTTGTGGAGAATGGCTCAGCTCAGGATACGTGCACGTGCGCTTTGTTCAGGGTTTGGTAGCTTGACAGTATGGTGATTCTGGACCCTTCTGAGTTCAACCTGCCATTCGCCAGTACGAAAATCACTTGCCATGGCGCTTGCCATGCATGCCGTTTTTCGCAGGAGCCTGAAGATGAAAATGAAGCTGCTAAAGATTCAGATGCCAAGGGTCACTGGATCAAAATTTGATCAATCTGCTGGTTTCCATAATTGTCACAGGGAAATGGAGTTGAAACCCATGCGTGTCTCTCCAAATCGCGGTGGTACCTTAAAAGCTGCAACGGTTCCCGGCCTCCCTTTAGCAACCACAAAGGGGATCCACCCGTTCTAGAATTTCATGGTCTTTGTAGATCTGTCAAGTTCATCGTGTCCTGGGGAGCCCCTTGAAAATTGTAGAAGGGCACCAAAGGCAAGCTACCCAGTTTTGTGTCCCCTGATGAGACACATACTGCGGTTTTCAGAAGATGGCCAGCTTGCCACAGCTTGGACCAACCAAATCTTCGCCTCTCCCTGCCTGCCTCTCCTTTTTTTTGTTTAAGTTGTACACCTTCAGCGTTGACATGGTGTCATCTTGCACAAGAGTTGCCAGCAATGACAGAAAAGAGGGAGTCATGAAGCAACATGTGTTAAGTTGTCATTACCCAAACCGCGTCTTGCACCTGTTTTTTTGGCCGGAATCGGCGGAATCGCATCTTCCCCGAAGCTCGGGGCGGTTCTTCGGATCGGCTGAAGCCCATGGCTCGCAGGTGGCGGCCAACCGCCGGACCGGCGCCGGCATCGAGCCGGGCTTGGAGCGAGGAGGGGAGCGCCCGGGAGCCGAAAGATTGGCGCAAGTGGTCCAAATCGGGGGCCTTCGGTTTGGGTTTGGGTTTGGGTGCCAGTTGTTCCCGTGGTTTCCTTTGGTTTCATGGTTTCCTTTTGGTTTCATGGTTTCTGTGGGGTGTTTTCTCACTCGTTTGGGATTTGTGGTCTCATGTTGTTTTTCTTTTGGCTTCGATTTGCCAGCAAATCCCTAGGTTGCCTTTGTCCCTAAGTGTTGCACATTGGGGTTACAGGTGTGAGGCTCGCTCAAGTCCGTAAACGGTGGATTGGCGCATTTTGTGTGTGGTTTGGGTGTGTTTGGAGGGCATGGTGCAAATTTTGAAGACGAAAGCTGACCCCTTGCGGACTTTAGCTGTGCCACGGTGCTAGTTTTGAACCAAATTCAACCCTCGATTTTTGGTCTTCCGTCGCTCTCGCAGTCGCGCAGGGCTCATCTTGAGTTTGTTCGACCTGTTGTAGAGTTCCGCCCAAGAGATCCACAGGATCTTTCACTTCCCCAGACCCTCAGACCCAAGCCATTGGCAGTTTGCAGGGATTCCAAGGAGCAGTGGACTCACCGGCCAGTGGACACACTTGACACCTTTTTCCTTGGTGGCTCTCCCTTTTTTCGAGTGGTGGCCCAAAAAGAGTACACTTTTTGGCTGGTCACTGGCCAAGTGAGTGGATTAGCATCGCGACACCACCCCTTCGGTGGCTTCTTGCGTCGCCCGAGAGCAGATTTGCAACAGAAAAGAGAGAGACCAAAATCAAACCAAAGCACAACACCAAGCAAAGGCCCAAAAATCAGAAAACACTAAACCAACAAAAAACAAGAACCAAAGAAAGACAAGGGGCCATGGGTGTGGATTTTTTTCGGGTTTCTTCCTCCGTTTCGAGGCCTCACGCGGCAACAGCTCCGGGACCGCGAGAAGTCGGAGGCGGAGAAGGCAAGCCCTCGTGCCCTCGGGCCCTCGCCCGTGTCACTTTGGGGGCGCGGCTCTGCATGGATTTTACTGGGGAACCCCCTCAAAAGGTGGTGGACATAAATCCAAAGGGTCCCGAACTAAAATTCATGACCCAGTACTTGGGCGGTCAAGACCGTTCCGTTTTGGGATCGCATCTTGGGATGAATTCACCACCCATTTTAGAACCTATGTTAGTGGTTGGATTGGGTCCCGTTCACGGTACGATTTGGGTTTTGAAATGCCCATGGCCCTGGGCTGTTCAAAGGCAATCCTTGGGTTGCGAAAGCTTGTACAACAGGGATTGTGGAGGATTGGGCAACGCTCCATGTTGAACAGCCCAGACTTGCAGTCCTTTTGGGGGTGCTCTACTTCAAGACGCACCCTGGCTCAAGCCGACAGCTACACCCCGCCCCCCGAACACCACCAAGAGAGGCCCTTCGAAGACATGGAGATGAAGCCAAAGGATGTGGAGACTTGCAGCCAGGACAGCACCGCCAGCGGCTTCAGCAGCAAAGGCGATAGCCTCAGCGTGGTCTCGGCGATCGGCGCCAGGGACGCCTTCCGGCGCGGCGGCGTTTTGCCCACCTCTATCTGCCTCAGCAAGGCGGCCCTGGGCGCCGGCGTGCTAAGCGTGGCGGCGCACGGGGCGGAAGTGGGCGCCGTCTACTTCTTCGTTTGCCTCGTCTTGGGGGGGCTACTCACTGTGGCCAGCATCCGCATGATCGCGAATGCCAGCGTGGAGACGGGTTGCTGGAGCTATGAGGACATTTGCGAGGAGCTTTTGCACCCGGCCATGTCCCTCTTCACCGGCTTCATCAACGTGTGCAACTGCCTGGGCGCCGCTGCGGGGTACCTCATCGTCTGTGGCCAGGTGTTTCAGGTGGGTTATCAGGGGCCGCAGGTTTTAGTCCTTGGTTCCATTTACTAGGGTTCCAAAATGGACACCCATTTTTGGCCCACAGCCAGGTGATCTTCCATGCAGACGACCGGGCTCGGAACCTCTTCGTGGTGCTGGTGGGCATCTTCATCTGCGGACCTCTGGCTTTGGCCCGGCACGTTAGCTTCATGCGGCACCTCGCGGCGGTGAGCGTGGGGGCGTTGATGCTGCTGGTGGTGTCGGTGGTGGTGTACTGGGCCCAGCACGGCATCGACGAGTCCGTGGACGTGGAGAGCTTCCTCTTGCCCAGCTCGGGCGCCACGGTGTTCACCTACATGAACTCCATCAACAACATGGTCTTCGCCTACACCAACCAGTTCAACGTGCCGCAGCTCACTGGGGAGTTGACACCCGCCCCTTCTGTGCGCAGGATGACCAAGGTTGCGGTCTTCAGCACAAGCCTTTGCTTTGTGCTCTACGGGAGTGTGACCATCTTTGGAGTGCTGGCATTCGGAGTGGGCGACAATCAGAAGGACACGCTGATCCTGGATCTGATGCCAGCACGCAAGGAGTGGCACGTGGTGGTGTCTCTCTTTGCGGTGATGTTCAGCGTCCTCACGTGCTTCCAGTTCCATGTCTACCCCATCCGTCAATTCTCCGCCTATGCGGTGCGCAAGCTCCGCGGGCTTCCGGGCAAAGCGGGCGAGGAGGCCGAGGCGACCGACGGGTGCGGGGGCCGGTCGCTGGCGCGGTGGCTGGACATCGCTGCCGCGCTGGGAACCGTTGGGGTCACCATCTTGATCGCCATCGTTGTCACCTCTCTGCGGACCATCCTCGACTTCATCGGCGCCTTCGCCTCCGCCTACATCTCCTACGTGGTGCCAGCGGTCTGGATCCTGGCCTTGCGCCGGAAGGAGAAGAACTTCTCCTGGCTGGCGCCCGAGATCCTCTTCAGTCTGGCAATGCTGTCGCTGGGCCTGTTCTTCTTCGTGTTCGGCACCTACTGCGCCATCAAGGGAGCGGCTTAAATGAGCGCGCCCCTTCCGCTTCCTCTCGGGGAGTGGACTTGAGACAATTTCCAAACGATTTGAATGGCAAACAGTTTGGCCAACACAGAAGTTTTAATGGGCTTTGCCAAGCAACTCGACAGCTTGTGACGTTGAGGCTCCCATGAAAAGGGCTATTCGGGGAGTTGTTTACAGGAGGGCTCCCTGCACAGGAGGCCCTCAGTTTGGGTGACGTTTAAGTCACCCAATTGTACAAGTAGCTGGCGGCATGGCTTCAAGCTCGCTTCTGAAGCTTGGACTATTTGCTTCTCCTGTTTCAGGGAGACTCTTTGATTCCTCCCCTCTTGAACACACCCATTCTGGGGGCTTTCAAACCGGGAGATCCCCATCTTGTATAGGGGGTGTTCAGCAGTGGCTTGGATCAAGCTGTAGATTCTCAAGGGTCTACAACCCGCGCTGCTCTTTCGTTGGCACTGCGAGGGCGGAGCGTGGAAAAAAGAAGATATGGCCATGGATTAAAACCAAGGGTACCATTTTGGGGTAGGCGCACCACCCATTTTAGGCTTTATTTTAGTGGTTGGATTGGGATGTTCACTGGCGGGTACGATTTGGGTTTTGACCCATGGCCATATGTTGATTGGGTTTGTGAGATTGGGAAGGAAGTAAGACTCGTATGTTGAGGAACCGCATGAAGCAAGGCAGCGGGGCACCATGACACTTCCCAAGAGGTTGAAGGATTTGAAGCACCTCCTTCCCCAGAAAATGACCCCCCGAAACCCACTAACTGTAGAGATAGCTATATACTATATAGCATTATGTATAGAACTGTATAGAATTGAACTTGGCAAATTTATTGTTAGGGGAGGGGAATGCAGGATTTGGCCTATTCGGCCAGGACGGCTGTAAAAGAATGGTCCTTGCCGTAGGTGTCCTTTCTAGGTTAGTTGGGTTGAACATAGATGGTCCTGGTTTCAGTTTGGTTCGCATCGTGTGCCAGTGCCATGTATTTCCCCAAAGGGACACATGTGGTCCTTGCTTGATTATTTTTTGTCGGTATAAGCCTGTGCAATTAATATTTGGAAGCAAGAGGTGAGCGACTCAGCCACACCATCACACCGTGGCTTGAAAAAGCAAGTCGTCATCATATGGGCTACTTTCTATTTTCTTTTCGACAAGTATAATATGTAGTAGTTTGCGGGGGCGGAAGCACCCTGAAATGGGTTAGTCCAAAAAACGGCTTAAACCCCTCAATAAAATGGGTGGTTTCCCTATTCCACTTACAGCATCAAAAGACCCCCCAAAGTTCAGAAAAAGGGGTCCTCGCATGTGTTCTTCTAACGTTGGATCCTTCCAGAAGAAGTGCAGGGGGTTTGCTTTGCAACTAAGCGGAGGCAATGTGGGAGATTATCCGCATGAAGCTTTGGCTTTTGCTGCAGGCCGACTGGACTCCCTACATCGCGCATGTGGATGAGTGGCTCGAAGAGGCCTCAGAGCCCGACGGCATCACGGATAGTTGGGTCGCCAGGACCAGACAGCGCATCGATGTGTTTTGAAACCCGTGAAGCAAACAGCCAGCAACAGCACCTTCAAAACAGAACCCAAGGAAGAACCCGAAGCAAGGCAGACAAGTGAGGGATGGCGATGGAAGGAAGAAAAGGAGCATATGGCAAGAACAAAGTGAGGGGGCAGAGGTGTGAGAAGGCAGGTGACACTGGGGCTCGCGCGTGCGCAGGACGGAACGCGAGATCTTCGCAGAGTTCAATGAAGAGAACGGGACATCCGAGGCTCGAGCCAAGCAGACGTGTGACTTGTTCGAATGCTCCTTCTGTGACTCGACGCAAAGTTGTGGGCCTGGCGCGATTTCAGGAGCAGGCCGAGGAGATTGAGCTGGCTTCAAGCATGCCGGAAGAGGACCATGCTTGCTAAGTTCGTGCATTGATGGAACCGCGACGTCTCGCAAATGCGTGAAGCGTTTTAGATGAGATGCCGGGTGAAGAGTTCGGTTTTCCCGTGACTTTCAAGCGCTGCGGCCACCCATCAGCATGAGACATGACTATGGGTCAAAATTAAACCACGAGAAGACCGCAGTTTTAGTCCTTGTTTCCATTTACCAGGGTTCCATTTTGGGCACACATTTTTGACCCACAGCCACACGCCAAGCACAGGACTTCGATGACTCGGACGACTTCGCTGAAGACGAGTTCGCCGAAGATGACTTTGACGACGACTCGGACTTCATCGCTGACGATGCGCCCTTCAGCCTGGCAAATCCTGAGGCCGCAGGGCGTAACGTAGAGGTTGCAGGTTCCCAAATTTAAATGGTCGCACAAATGACTATGCGCCAGTAGATGAAGTCCGCGTTGACATGATGTTTGACTGTCAAGGCACGCTGGAGCGCCAAAGCTAAATGTAGTACGGTGGGCCGCCCTTGTGTTCTCAATCAAGCTTTTGTAGAAGGAGGTGTTTTGGTGGCCCAGCATGAGCAATCGTGACATTTTGATCAGTTGAAAGGAATAGCCTCTCAAATTCCAGTGCGAGAACCTTCCCCAAAGACCCTTAAAGAAAAAGAAAAGACACGCCAGAATTGCGCCGCGTGTCAATTGCCAGGACGATGCGTGGGAGTTGAAGGATTCGCCGGACCAAGAGCGCAGCGAGGGCTTGCTTTACTGAGCGGCGGCTCGGTGATCGCCTCAGCTGGGAGTCGCTCATCGCCTGTGATGGCCAAAGCTCCCTGCTGCGCGTGTGCAGTTTGGCTAGTCATGGGAAAAGCAAGTTTGCATTTTTTCTCGGACGATGCACTTGGGGAGGGGGGGGGGGCAGGGCGACCTCAAAAATACAGAACCCGACCTGACTTGAGAGCAGAATAGAGGGAGTTTCTCGGGAAGCAGCTTCCTCCCTTCTTGCCTCGGAGGCCGTTTGCACGCCTTCGTTTCTTTGCGGCTGAGGCATCACGGACGCGGAGGCTGACGGAGCTGTCGGCGGGCCCAAGGTCCGCCAGGAATGTCGGGACGGAGCAGATGAGAGCGCGGAGGGCACAAATCGCGGGCCGCTGGCGGTAGATCCAGTTTTTTTCTTTTTCCGGCGCATCCGGAAGTGATTGCACACCTCTTGATCAGCAATGGACACCTCGTAGCGACCTCTACACGAGAATGAGGCGCTTGCGTTGCTCGGTGGGCAAATTCGTCGGCGACTTCTGTGGGCTCCAGAGAGGCACTAAGACGCCCGCGAGCATCTCGCGCTGGCGCGGCTTTCACTTGGACACGACCTGACATTAACTCGGAGACCCAGCGAATCGAGAAAAACAAAAAACACCAGGTATGAATGAACAGACCCAGGCAAAAATATGGCAGACCAAGGCAAACCTGGGGCAAACATGGGCAAACAGGTTGAATGAACAGACCAAAGTAAACGTTTTGACTTTGCTTGCCTGGCAAAGCAGTCCTTCCCAGAAGGTGCAGCCTTGCCCCCCTCGCAGCCATGGACCGCTTCGATACCTCCAAGGACCCCCGCTTCAAGCGGGCGCCCAGGAATGTGCGCCGAGTCCAGGCAACTCGAGTCACTCGAGTCGAGTGGAGGGCATGTTTTTATTTGGGGTGGCTGATTTGTGAATCAACGTTTCAGATTGTGGCTGTGTAACATGGGAGAAACAAAACAGTGAACCGTAGCTGCAAAACGACTAACATGATAACATGGGACACAAATTGGTCCGTTGCCTTCGGACATATGACATCAGGGTGTGCATGGGAATCACGGCAGCAGTTGGGCATTTTCTCATGTTCGGGGGGCATGGCTTGACAACGAATGGTGCACCTGCCACTGTCTTGAGACCACATTCTTGAAATTTTTGTTGGTTCGCCTTCAACATGGCAGTGATGAACTCTTTGTTTGTACTTGGTACTGTTTTCATGAGCCAGTTCTACACATGCATGCCGCGGTGGTCGTGCATGGCCTGACTTGAACATGAAGACGCGTGTTTGGCAAACTCAATGAAACAGGCCATTGCCAGACTTCAAGACATACTGTGGATCGACGAAGTCTTGCACCACCCCAAAAAAAACCCTGGAAAGATGATTCCCCAACGTAAATACGAACAAGCACTGGTTCCCCACGGTTTCAAAGTGGTGCGATTTTTCTGGATTTCGCAACCCTCCACCGGGTCTTAAGACTGAAGAGGCTGTGGTTGTCAAAACCAATGGGATCCATTTTGGGGTAGGTGCCCCACCCATTTTAGAACCTATTTTAGTGGTTGGATTGAATCGGATGTTCACTGGAGGGTAACCGATTTGGATATTGTCCCATGGCCAAGAGGCCTGGCTGCCTGGCTGCACTGTTGGCCCTGTGAGGTGGACAGCCGCTTCGCGCGGATGTTCCAAGACCGGCAGTTCGTGGAGGGGCCGAAGGTGGACGCGCGAGGCCAAAGGCTGCGGAAGGACGCCAGCAAGCGGAAGCTGCAGGACTTCGGGACCGGATAAAACCGATCCATTCGGGGCCAGGGGAAAGGAAACCGCCAGTTGAATGGGTTTTCTTGAAATGGGTCATTCCATTTCTTACTCCCTGCCTATTGCACCAGAAAGAATATGGAGGAGCTGGTGACCTGGTTGGGATGTTTTGCCACAGGGAAATGGAAGTTTCAAACACGGTTGCATGTGGCAGGGCCTTGTTGTGGGTCATTTCTGGAGTGCACAATGGGCCCTGGCCAGAAACTCAGCTGAATGGATGCAGGGTTCGTTTCTTTGGTATGGCACTTTGCCGCTTTGCCGCTCTGCTTTTTCCCGGGATGGCCGGCCTTTTGACCTTGAAGCTTGGCCCCAAATGGTTTCCCGGAATCCGGGGCCTCACAACATCGGCTCCGTGGCTATACCCGCAAATTGGTCAAAGAGCTCACACTCCAATGGAGAACCTCCATAGTTTCCGCCAGGGCTAGTCTTTTCAGCCCTAGACATATATGCAAGTATGAAACTTACCGCCGAAACTCCAACCTACTGAAGTCTTGGTTTTGTGAGGGGGTCGTCCAGTCAGTATTTCACTTAAAAGAGGGCAAAGTGCCCCCTTATGGAAGGCAAACGTGGGTGCCTTCAAAACCAAGCAACTTTGAACTTCGCTCTTCGCTTGGAAGGATTGGGGGCGAGACCACGGGGCAAACTAGAGTTTGTATTCGTTTCGCGCGTTAGTTTATGTTTTTGATTGTTGCCTCAACGCTCGTTTGGCGAAGATTGGGCAGGTGCCACTGGGGTTTCACAGGTCGCACACAAAATTGGGCGTGTCTTAGATTGGTTGAAGTTGAAAGAAGAACGCCGAATCGAAAATTGGCGGTGGGTCACAACTAGGTACCCAAAATGGGTTTCCCTGGTAAGTGGAAACATGGATCAAAATCTGCGGTCCGATTCCTGGTGGTTTAATGTGACCCACACCCATTGTGTCAGTCCCTCGGATTAATAAACCCCTGTTTATTAGCATGGGGGTGTCCCTGGTGTTGGTGGGGATTTCTCACTTTGGAGGGGAACACCCCCATATGAATCAGCCAGGGGTGTATGAATCCGGGGTCAACGAGTGACGTCACAGGAGTTCTACGAGCTGGCGGGAGTGGAAGGAGTGAAGGCTCCAGAAGAGGAGCCCGAGGAAGGTGAAGAGGAGCCGGAGGAGGACGGCGAGGGATGGGTGGCGGTGAGTACTTCATGAGTTGGCACCCCGCCAAAGTGGACATGAATTAAATGGTGCCCACCAAAGGGTTTTTTAAATACATTTCATACCCAGGAATGCGGCTTTGACGGTTAGCGAGAGTCCGTGCTTCACGGTTTTTACTTTGCGCGTGCCGTGATTGTTCTTGCTTCCTCTCTAAACTTGGAAGGTTTGTTGGTTTGCTTGAAGGAGAAGCACGAGCCCACGCCACCATTGATGGGAGTTGCTTAGTTTTTTTCCCCCCCTCCCTTGTTGGTTTTAAAGGGAATCTATCTCTACTGGACATATTTTTATTTTTCCCAGCTTCTCAGCAAATGAAAGGAGGGGAGCGGCTTCCAGTGACCGATATCCAGTTCGTCCTTGTAGGATGAGCTGGAAGAAGAGGAGGAGGAAGAAGAGGAAGAGGACGAGGAGGACTTTCAGCGTATGGCCATAGGTCAAAACCCAAATCGTAACCCCTGTGAATATCCCAATCCCCACTAAAATAAACTAAAATGGGTGGTGCACCTTCCCCCCATAGTGGTACCATTGGTTTTGACCCACAGCCATATGGCAAGGGGCACTGGCACCTACGGGCCGTGTGAAGTTTTAGGAGTCTCACCAAGGCGCGCTGAGTCTGGGGTTGGTGAATTGGTTTGGCTTTGCTTCAGCCTCTCTGCTGGTTTGTCAGATACTCTCTTTTCAACCGAAGAGGTGGACGAGCGTTTTTGGAAGACCATCCTCTTGACTCTTGGCGCCTCGTGAATTTGTCACCAACCTAAAAAAAACAAAAAACGGCTGGTGGGCTTGCTTGCTGGTGCTCAGTGGGGAATGTGGGAATGAACCCACTCAAAGGACACCATCAGTTGGATCTCTTGGCACCTCGTGAATGAGTCATCAACCCGACAGTTGGACAGTTTAAATCGGGGCCATTCCATTTCTTATTCCCTGCCCATCGCAGCAGCAAGAACATGGAGGACCTGGTGACCTGGTTGGGACACCTTCTTAAATGTTTGTTCAAAGAGGGCTGGTACCTTAACTCTTGGAAGTGTCATTGTGTTGGTCGAGGTACAGCAAGTCTTTGTCCTACCTGCTGTTGCTGCATGCTTTCCGTGGAAGTTTATCAGTTGGATGGTTTAACTCGGGGTCGTTTTCCATGTCTCATGCCCTTATCGCAGCCAGCTGCTCAGGACGCCAAAGTGAGCTCCGCCTGGGAGACCACGCAGGACGTGCCCCAGGGGGACGCCAGCAGCCGACTGGCTGTGATGGGCTGCGACTGGGACCACGTCTCGGCCGGGGACTTGATGGCAGGGGGCCCAAGCGGGGGAAGTGCCACGTGGTGTTTTTGGGTTAGTTTGAAAATAGACGGCACTGGTTCAGGTGGGGGTTCTTCCATTTACTGGGGCCATCTAATTTTCCAAAAGGCCACCTACGTTGGGAAGTCCAAGGTGTCCAGACCCGAAATAAAGTAACTTGCTGGGTGCGGTAAGTAGGGAATCTGGGAATGAACCAGAGGAAAGGAAACCACCAGTTGGATGGTTTTCTCTGGGTCATTCCATTTCTCATTTCTTGCTGAGCGCCAGCAAGTCACAAAAAACTGAAACAATGCGAGGGGAAGTTTGGGAGCACCCAGTAACCCATCTTCAACAGTGGACAAGGTGTGAACTCTCCTGTTCTTGGAAAGAGGGTAAGCATTGGAATGGCTTTCAATTTTGGGTTGAGAGAGGCACTTTGGTATTGCCTATTGGATTTGGGGTTGGCAGGAGCTTGGTCTTGCCTGGGGTTTTGGTTTTGATGGCGTCTCGTTGCACGTTGCACGGCTGAATGCGGTTGGTTCCACTCGCATCTTGCTTGGAGCTCGGGGCGCTTCAGCCAGCGCGCTGAGGTGATGTTCCGGACCTACCTCAGCACCGCGCGCTCGAAGAACCAAGCGGGCAACGCCCCCCGGTGCACTGGCGTCGGCTTCGGCTAGAGGTACTTCGGAGCGTAGCTGAATCAGAAACCCAAGAGCCCTGCGAGTCTGTTGGTTCCGAGTTCGCCTCAAACGCATCAAGTTCACTTCAGCTTGACTGCTATTGGGCAACGGATCTTTAGACTTTAACTGTTTGGTTGAAATGAAGTTGGGTTTTCCGAGCTCAACCCCCCAAAAGTGAGACTCGCTTTTTCACTTTTTGCAGGGCCGTTCCAGCAACATCAGAGTCAGCCTGGCTTCGCCGGACCGCCGGACGGGCGGACGCGCCTCTCTTCGAGCTCAGGTCCTGAAGATCAGCGTGTTCCCCTCGGACTACGGCAAGCAGCAGCTGGAGCGGGAGGCAGCAGCTGGAACCCTTGATGCTCCAAGGTTTTTTGTCTCCTTCAGGCTGCAGGCTGCTTTTCGGTTCGCCCTCCGGTTCCTTTGGTTTTTTTTGGGCTTCTTTTGGGGGGCTGGTGGCTGTTTCCATTGAACCCACTAGAAGTTCAACTTTTAGCAGATCTGAAAGCGGACCCAGCAAGGCATTCATGGTTCAGAGCTTTTGTTGAGGTTTGGCACTCCGAGCCACCGTGGGATGGTTTGAATATCGCCTGCTTGATAGCGGCTACGAGCATTCCTGTTACGATATCTATGTCCATGGATTAGTCCAAACCAGAATATAGTATATACTATTCAGTTTCTGACTTATGCCATATAGGTACATATACGTATGAACAACATACATAATAAGCATATTAGCAAGCTTTGTGCTGTGCATTTCGATCGATGTGTATTTTTGTACACCTACATTCACACCGCAAGATGGGTCATGAGTTCTTGCTTGCAAGACGCTTGCGAGAGGCGAGAGAGGGCCCACTTCTTCCTGCTGGGCGAGAGGTCGAAGAGGACGAAGCAGCACAGCAAGACGCTCTGAGTGGAGCTGGCTTATTACGTGCGCCTTTGTTACACTCAAGCTAGGTTCGGAAAGACAGGAGTTGAGCAGCTTTCCGTCCACAAAACAGGGTTCACGCGCAGGGCGCATAGGGAGAGCAACAGCTTGTCTTGTTTTTGGGTAAAAAGGCATCCTTTGCCAGGGCGCTACCAGATGGACAGAACCAAGTACTACTGGGCAATGGTGGAGTGCGACTCTGCGTCCACTGCCTCGTGGCTCTACGACCAGATGGATGGCTTGGAAGCAGATGGCAAGGAGCTTAGCCTTTCCAGTGGCAGCACGTGCCACTCGAACAAACATGGTCGCGCTTAGACAACAGCACCATAATGTAATTCCAGCAAATTGAAAGCTTTTAACGAAGCAGCAGCAGCGGCAGCAGCAGCAGCAGCCACCATTGCACCCAAACGAAAAAAGTGCTAGGCGTCTGCCCTGGGACCCTGGATCTACGCTTCGTGCCGGAGGGCCTCGAGCTGCCCCACGAGCCAATCGGCATGGCCACGGAGGCAGGGATGCGCTTGGCTGCCACAAGCCAGTTTTACCTGTGGTAACTTTTTCTGACACCAGCTGAATATGTCTCAGATGTAAAGGATCGATAATTAGGGAATGTTTTGAATACACTCTCTCCCACCAAGATAGCACCTCACAGTAGGTTCCTTTGAGAGGACGGCTGATCTACAAGGTTTCCTACAAATGCTATGTTTGTGGGAGGATGGGTACCTCCTCAACGGTCCCCGAAACATGCCCACCAAAGGGTCCCCGCTTGAAACAAGATTCTTGGTTTGACGATGTGTTTTGCCAATGTTTTGGTTGGGTCATCGGACCATCAAACTTTGATAACTTTTTGGTTTGGGCCGTTGGAAATAGGATCCCACCCAATAGACAATGGATTTGGGTTTGTCTCCAAAATAGGAAACCATGAAAAGGGCCGGTTTCCCTTCGTCCCCAACCAACCCCAAGAGACACCCAGTTCGCGTGCCCGAGGTCCCGAAGAAGTTCGCGGGGCCGGCGCAGCTGCGGTCCGCCACAGGCCACACCAAGGCGGGGAACCGGGTCCGAGGGCCTCGCAGGAGACGCGTTCGCCTGGGCACCAAGTGACCCTCGGATGTCAAGTTGCTGGACATGGCTCATGAGAGATTTTGGATGAATCTGGCTTTTGGCTGGCAGCCTGCAAAGCCATTGGGCTCGGAGAGTTTTTGCTTCAACGTTGATCTTTTTCGGAGCATATTGCTCCGCCTCGCAAGGATATCGTAAAAAGTCATTTTGGCCGTAAGACATTCAGATGCCTCATCTAGCCCGGCAGTTAACCCCCTGGTAAGTCCGCACAAGTAGGGTTGCTGGCACCCAAGTAGTCTTGATGTTCTCCGTCCATGTTATGGTTGGGAACATGAGCACGGGGAGAGGGTTTGCCGTTGCAGTCGCTGGCCCATCGCGAGCATGTCGGCCTTCGTTTTCCAGGCCTTCTTCCAGAGCCTTATGAGAATCGGTTAGAGCAGTCTTTGTGCCCCTGAAAGGCCGAGCCCAGACTTTCGAAGGCATGCGCCCATCAGGCTCCTGTCTGCTGCAACTTGCCTTTCCTCTACTTTGCATTCGCTTATTCGCCGCGTTTCGGACGGCCATCAACTACTTGGTAGGTTGATCAATTCTTCAGCCATACGGGACCCAAAGGTTCCAAACTCCAATTCTTCAGTCACTTGTACTAGATCAGCTTCCAAACTTTCGATTTAGAAGTGTCTTCTTTTTTCGCCTGGGTAACTTTCCAAGGGCCCAACCCCCCCCCCCTCCAGAGCCTCGCTCGCGTCCACCCCCGAACTCCGCGCGGATGACTCTGGGAGGTGAAGTGCACCTGGGACGAGGCCCCCGCCCAGCGTCGGAAGGCCCGAGTGGGTCGCGCTGGGTGCAGCCACAATGGTCGTGCTGTTTTGCGTGTGTAAGAAATCTCACTTCCTGAGAAAAATGAACTTTAAACTTTTTGGGTTTGGACCATTTTAGGGGTAAATATAAAGTTTGAAGCTTTTTTTTGGGCCATCCACTCAGCAGTTTGAACCATCTTAAGCCACGGTTTTTTGACTGGCCTTTTGGTTCCCTGGAAGCAACATGACAATGGACGAGGGCTTGAGTTTAATCAGATGTTCGAAGTGTTTCGCCCCAACCCAGCCCAACAACTGCTTGTTTTCACCGATTGGCTGTGTGTGTTTTTAGGGAGCCCTTTTCACCTTAGCGCAACCAAAAGGAACACCGAGCTCAATCCCCGGTTTTGCCACAGAATCTCCCAACCGCTAGGACCTCATGCGGAAGCGCTTCACCCAACAGGAGCTTGCAGAGATGGACTTGCAGGCGGGAAGTCGAGTGTCCAGCGGCTTCCCTCCAGGCCGACCTCCAAGCAAAGGCATAGCCATGGTCAGCACAAACTTAACCAAGACCACAAAAAGGTCCCTGAACTCCCCCACCAAAGCCGGCTTCCCCGGCTTCCCCGGCTTCCCCCCCTTCATCTCCCCCCCCCCCCCCAGCTGCGCGAGGGTTCCGTCCGGACGTTTCGTGAGTTTTCAATTCGGCGTGTCCAACACCTCCAGTTGCCGCTGGCCCGGTTGAACAGCCCCCGGCATTGTTTTGACAACCTCGGCGTTGCCGGCGCGCTGTTGGTTCGCGCCTTTCTGGGCTTGGGTGCGTACGAACATGAGACATACAGACACACATGCACACATTGATGCACACCTGCACACATGCGCACATGCACACATGCACACATACACGCATACACATACACGCATACACATACACACATACACACATACACACATACACACACATATTGGACATGACATAACCATGCACAATGCAATATGATGAAATGCAATACAATGCACCACAATGCAACGCGATGCAATGAAATGCAATGCACTGCAACACCATACAATACAATGTCTTTTCATTGCATTACATCACCTAACATTACGCTTAGGTTACATTGCATTTCATCGCATCGCATTTGACGACATGACATTGCGTTCAGTTTCATCAATACATAAACCTTTCAACTCACCACTCTGCCCCTTTCCCCTTGCCCTCGCACGGTATGTTCGCGCGGTCAGACTTGGCACGTGTCTTCCGCACGTTTCCGCACGGAGCGCTGCTTGAGGCCTACCTGGCCTCCAGCTCCGAGGAGGAGGCGGAGGTCAAGGGCAAGCAGACGCGAGCGCAGGAGCTGAAGGCGCTGGTGGCGTGCTCCGAGGACGAGGGCGACGAGGGCGGCGCGGGCGGCGCGGGCGAGGGCGGCAGCGAGGGCTCCGGCAGCGAGAGCGACTTTGGGACGCGCAAGAAGCAGCCGGAGGGGGACATGGAGGCGGGGCTGCCTGACGTTTTTCTTCTTTTTTTTTAACGCGCAGAGCGGCTGGATCACCCGTGCGTTTTCAAGTGCCGCAACTAATTCCACCCGCAGCAAAAGCACAACCTGCCTTGTTTTCAGCTCAGGCCTGCCCGAGTGTTCGTCTTGAAGGGTCAAATGAATGACCGGCAAACTACTTATTTGATTTCAAGACAATGGTCAAGTACAGTTACTCCAGCACAACTGCTGTTTCAAAAAACAATCCGGCATCATAGCAGCCCCACCGCATCGCCACATGAACTGGGAGACCATCGCTTTGATGTTTTGCATTGCTCAAATCACCTTTGCCTACCTGGCGTGGGAATGCTTTGGGAACACAATCCTTTAAGCATCTCCACACACGATCGACCGCTGTCCCAGCTATTCCGGGACACGCCCTCCACAGAATAGCTCAAGAAAAGGGGAGCCGGTTGACGAGATAGCGATGACACGTTTCCCAAGCCGAGTCTTCTTTTTCCCAGGCGACCTTCAGCATGACGGCCACCAGATTGGAGGAGGAGCTCTCAGCGAAGAGTGGCGGCGTGCACAGCCTGCAGAAGGAGTCGCAGAGCGCCTGGGAGAAATACCTGGAGAAGCGCAAGCAGAAGAGGAAGCTCCTGTTTCAAGATGAAAATGCTCGGTGCTCGCGAGTCTTTAAGTGGGTAAGACTTTCCAGGGTGCCACTTGCAAGCGTGTTCACTGAAAAAAGGCTGGTTGAGGTCGTGCTTGGGGGTTCTTCAAGGTTGGGACCCTGTGGGTTGACTGTTTTCCCTTGAGCCCGCCTCTTTGGAAGCACCAAGAATCAATTAGATTCACAACATGGATCAAATCATATCCAGTCCAAACAACTAAAAACGGCTCAACAAATATGGGCTTGGTGCGACAGGATCAAACAGTAAACCAGACAAAATGGGGACCAGCGAACGGAGCAGACTGGATGCAAGTTGTTTCCTTCAATATTTTCTATCTATGTTGCCACCTGTCACATGCCCTCGTGGTTTGCTGACTACGGTGTGTGCGTGTCAATGTAAATCGCCATAAGGGTCCTTCTCTTAGTGGCTCTTCAAGCCATCCAGCACCAGGTTTAACAGCCTATCCAGCCATATGAGTTCTGCTTAATTCTTCTCCAATACTCCACGGTCCCATTGGGCGGACTACGGGGCACTCACGCTTTGTTTCCCCCCAAAAACAACAAGAAAACGAGCCCGAGACATTTGCCGTGTCCTCTTGACCGCTATCTCCGTGAGAGCCAGGAGGGAGACCCGGCAGAAGGTGAAGGATGAGAGGGAGAAGCAGAAGGCCAAGGGCGACGACTTTAAGCCCAGAGAGGAAGAGGAGCCCGAGGATTTGGCGGTCCTCATGGACGAGTCCAAGGATTGGCCGAGGGATCCTGGATAAGAGACAACTCGCATCTTGGGCGCTTTTTTGGTTTTTCAGGCATGGACCTTTGCCATCACACCAGAAGGACGCCACCATTTAAATGTTCTTTTTCGCAGGCTTCAAACTGGGCAGAGTTCCAAACGAGAAGTCGTTGTGTGACACGGGGCTTTCTGCGCCACGTCTGTCGGCAACTTGGCATTCACCCATATTTACAGCATGTGCATCTTGTTCCTGAGCGACAAACTTACGGGCTCCCCAGCTTCCCCTAGCGCAGCAACCAACCTGCAGACGAACTCCGACTCGCACCACCTTTGCAACCTCCAAAGTGAGCTTTGAGGCGAAGACATACACAAACACGACAAAGACGAGAATGAGGTGACAGAGGTTTGCTAGTTTGATTCATCCCCATGATGTATCAACGCTTTTATTCGTCCTGATCTCCGGCAAAGATTCAGGCGCCATGCGCTGAACGTCCGAGTTCCCGTGTTTGCCATCCCCTCAAAGGCCGTGTTTTTGGTTGAGAGCACCAGGACCGGGGCTTCAATTTGCGGGGCCCGCAGCGCCGGGCCCACGACAAGGGCACGGTAGTTGAGGAAGGGGACAACTTCCAGATGGACGTTCAGGCGGGGCCTTTTTTTGTGTGTGTGTTTTTCTTTTTCGAACTTGGGAAATCGCAGGAGATTTGTTTGTCGCCTTTCCCCAAAACTCCCGGACCCGGACCCATGGCGCGCAGTGGGCCATCCAAAACTCAGAACCCCCTGGCGCGGGATTTTGGAGAGAGTTCCACATTTGCGCCAGGACCAGCGCATCTCCAAGGTCTTCCAGAGCGCGGACTTCGAGATCGACCCCACCAACCCGGAGTTCCGGAAGAGCGACGGCATGTTGGAGGTGCTCAAGGAGAAGCGCCGCCGGAAGGCCAAGGTGCCGAAGGCGACGCCGGATCCGGCGCCGGAGGTAAGGCAGTCCAGGGCAAAGGCGCCGGAGGGAAGAAAGGCCAAGGCGAGTGGGGAAGGGTTGCAGATCTTTGCCTCTCAAAAGAGAGCTCTGTCCGAAAAGGAGAGATCAGGCCAGGCCAAAGCTGCGCCGGCCAAGAAGGGCAAGAAGAAGCAGAGGAAGGCGATCTTCACTTAAAAAACCGCCGCGGCTGCCACGGCTTTTTTTTGCCAATTTTTGCTCATGGCACAGTCAGAGCGAGAGGCCTGCGTTTCTTTGTCGCTTAGCTTCCGACTTCCGCCGCCCTTTGGAGTGTTTCGGCTGATGCAGCCGGCTGGCGCCGAGGCTTGGGGGATTTTAAAAAGTCAAGTTTCTGTTTTTTGGGCCGAAGGAAAGTCGTTCTTTGCAATCTGGATTGCGAAAGGGTCAACTCCAGACTTTCTTTTTGTCTCCCCCGTTTCCCCGGTTTCAACCGTTTATTCTGTTGATTCTGTTGATTCTGTTGCGTGAAAAAACGGCGTTCACCTGAGGTCATGAGCCTTCAATGAGCGAGGTCGAGCGCATCAGGCTCTTCCCCCAGAGGGCGACTGGGAAAGGTTTCCTCCGTTTCCCTCAGTAGATCCTCAAGTGGCGTTTCAATGAAAGCGGAAATCCAGTGACCCCTGCTTTATATATCACTTCTCCGCTTGGGGGTCTAGTTCCTATAGCTTGGCACGCCTAGTCTTGGCGGAAACGGCAAAGGGAAGCCGTCAGAGGGACTTCAACCCTACGATAAAGAGTGGGCTTGCAAGATTCGTGGTGTGTGTTTTTGAAACGAACTGCACCCATTGATCTTCCCTGGACGTCCAGAATCATCCTTTTGCTGCCTATCCCGATGTTTCGATTGTTTGCTCGGCTGTGATCTGCCCACGAGGAGACGGAAGAGTGCTCATGCGGTCCGGTGTTGGGTGGATTTCGGATCAGCACGCGGAAACGCAGAAGGGATACCCTTGCCTGGGAACAAGCTCCATGAATCAATGCGCGCTTCACGTCAAAAGGCACCCGCCTGGTGCCGTTGGGTTTGAGGAACGGATGGCTTTGACGTCGACTCCAAGGGCAGTCCCGCTGCCTTTTCTGCCTGGATACACGGCCTTGCCGGCCTGCCTTGGGCGGGAAAGGCTGGGACGCGCCACTCACAGGCGCACAGGACGTGGGGATGTGAACTGCAGCTAGCAATCTGGCATTCATAAGCTGTTTGGGGGCGAGTATGCAGCGCAACATGTTCCGTGCCCATCATGCAACCATGGTTTGGGGCAAGTCAGGACTTGCTCCACATATGATTGATGGTGTTTCGCCGCTTGTTTGTTTCGGTGTCACCAGGTGTGAAGAATGTTGGAGTGAGGGTCTCAGTTGTGCCTCGTCCAGCACGCCCCGGGCTTGCCAGAACCATGACCTGAAGCCGAATAGCCGGAAGCCGCAGACGCTGACATTTGGGCCCGGGGGATCCACCGACTCCTTCCACAAGTTGAAGGCGAGCCGTCGGGTGTTTGGGGTAGGTAGAGCGTGACGCGGCTGGTCTGACTGGCATGCAAGGTTGATGAACGATCCTCCTACTCGGTGCGCCAGTGGGGGTTCATACTAGGGATTTTGCAAGGTGGTTGCTTGCTCCAGAGGAAGGAATTGCTGCAGCCTTCAGCCAGCTTGCACAAGCTTGCAGGTTCCCAGACTGAACCTGGCCCTTGTGGACAAGCTCCGCGACCCTTTCCATCGATACGACATGTCGTACAGGTCCACTGGCATGTTTTTTTTAGTTTTTTGTTTTTCCCCAGATAGCTGAAAGCTATAGGGGTTCTAACTTCTAATAAAGAAGGGAAAGTGATTTGCGAGATTGAGGGCCGGGTGCTGGGGGGCATGCAGTTTGGGGTGCTGGTGGAGGTGCTGGTTTGCGAGCTTGACGGCCGGGTGCTAGGGGGCATGCAGTTTGCAGTGCTGGTGGAGGTGCTGTTTTGCGAGATTGACGGACGGGTGCTAGGGGGCATGCAGTTTGGGGTGCTGGTGGAGGTGCTGTGTTGCAAGATTGACGGCCAAGTGCTAGGGGTCATGTAGTTTGGGGTGCTGGTGGAGGCGCTGTTTTGCGAGATTGACGGCCGGGTGCTAGAGGGCATGCAGTTTCGGGCGCTGGTGGAGGTGCCGCTTTGCGAGATTGACGGCATGGTGCTAGGGGGCATGTAGTTTGGAGTGTTAGTGGAGGTCCTGTGCGAGATTGACGGGCGCTAGGAGTCATGCAGTTTCGGGTGCTGGTGGAGGTGCCGCTTTGCGAGATGGGGGGCATGTAGCTTGGAGTGTTAGTGGAGGTCCTGTTTTGCGAGATTGACGTCCGCGCTAGGAGTCATGCAGTTTCGGGTGCTGGTGGAGGTGCCGCTTTGCGAAATAGGGGGCATGAAGTTTGGAGTGCTGGCGGAGGTGCTGTTTTGCGAGATTGACGGCCGGGTGCTAGGGGGCATGCAGTTTCGGGTGCTGGTGGAGGCGCCGCTTTGCGAAACTGACGGTCGGGTGCTAGGGGGCATGCAGTTTGCGGTGCTGATTAAGGTGCTGGTGCCTGTGCTGTTTAAGGCGCTGATGGACAGCGGGGGGGCGCTCCGTTTGGGGTGTTGTTTGAGGTGCTGGTGATGGTGCAGGCGCATTCTTGCAAGATTGATGGCCGCATGCAGTTTGGGGAACTGATGCAGCTGTTTTGGGGTACTGTTTGGGGTGCTGCTTGAGGTGCTGAGTACGTGACGGCAGGGTGCTCGGGGACGTGTCCGGTGCTGGCGCGGGTGCTGCGTTGGGGTGCTGTTGGGGCTGCCGTTTTCGGGTGTTGGTGATGGTGCGGGCGCATATGCATGGCAGGGTGCTAGGGCGGGTGCTGTTTGGGGTATCGTGGTTGTCGCGTCATCATGATGCTGGCCGCAGCATCATGATGCTGTCAGCAGCATCATGATGCTGTTGAACCGATTCGGACGTTGTTGCTGCTCTAACTGTCGCGCGTAACGGTTCGTGGCTGGTGTATCATCATGATGTTGTCAACCACGTTACGATGCTGCCTGCAATCGCCGCGATGCCGCGTTATGGTTTGTGGGTGTGGTGGCGGGCATAGTGCGGTCAACATCAAGATGATGCTGAATTTCATTACACTGTCGCAAGATGATTCGTGGCTATGGTGTGATCAAGATGCTGCCTTTGCCATCACCATGATGCTATGAGCATCACCATGATGCTGTCCGCATCATCATGACGCTGTCGAACTCATGGTCTGGCCAACCTTGATGGGCCTTGCCCGGACTTGACTGACCTTCTCGCTGCGCGCCCATCTTCCCCTGGGGCGTCGCGGCTGCCGGCCCGGTAGCCGTCGTGTGCGCGCGAGGTCGCTGCCCTCCGTAAAAACAGCGTGCAGCACAGGTGAGGAAACTGGCCTCCGAAAAAACAGTTTGCAGAACCCTGGTGCCCGGAGCCCCCCTTAATTGCGACAGAAACGCTAAAAACCAAAAACAAAACTCATCAGGGCGTCGACTCTTTTTTTTGCTAGATATGTAGCGCGGAATCGTTCGTGGCTGGTGTATCAGCATCATCCTGTCAACATGATTGTTTTGCTGATGGGCTCACTAGGACGTTGTCTGCGCGTGTATGTAGCGCACTATGCTGAGTAGCTGTGGTATTTTCATGATGCAGTCAACATCATCAAGATGCTGTCAACATCATCATCATCATCATCATCATCATCATCATCATCATCATCATCATCATCATCATGCCGCGGGAACCATTATGATGCTGCGTCATGGTTCGTAGCCGTGGTGTGCTATCTGGGGTCTATGCTGGTGTATTTTTTTTGGAGAAGGCAAAAACAACTGGAAAAACGACAAAAGCAGTTTACGACTGTTTCATGCTCGCAAGCACGGCGTCCTTGTTCTCGGGGGGATTTGAATCCCTGATTCTAGCGAATAAATGGGTCCAACCCCTCCTTAGCCACCACCAATCCAAAAGAGCAAGAGGGAAGCTGATGTTTTGGGGCCACAGAAAGGTGACGGCCGAGACCCGGGGCCAGGTCTCCGAGCCACGAGGAGCGGAACGTCATGCGGGAGAGCGCGCGCAACACTTACCGGCCGGCCATCGCGCCAGCCGCGGGGCCCAGTTTCCGAGAATCGACTAGGAGTTCAACGGAAGAACGCGGACCCCGAACAGATCTGATGGAATGGAGGTCCAGACAGGCGACTGCCGCCAAGATTGGGTGAACCTGGGCGCTTGAGTTGGTAATCTCGGTCCATGTAGTGGGTTCATGTCGCTTTGCAATTCACGTGTTATGTCCCATGGCATTTGAGAAGTTTTGTCTCGGACTCCTCGGTTTGTCAAGTATTGAGCCTGTGGCCGGTGTCGAGGCCTGGCTAAAGCACGACCGGCAAGTGCTGAAGTTTCTCGCTTACTCCCAAGCAGCTCGGCAGCAAGTGTGTCGAACCGAACTTAAGGGCCCTCTGACGGGAGGATTTGGCACAGTGGCCATTTAACCATGCTTTGATCAGATTCCTGATGGAACTTCTGACTGCAGATTCCTAGTTGTCAGAGCTGCGGTCCTTTGCGAGGACCTTGACAAAGGAGATTCCCGAGCCTCAAGCCTGGAGCATCCTTCTTTACACACGCCGGGTGTGCGGGTCACAAGTCTTTTCTTGGGGCTTGCACCATCAGGGCTTGCAAGGTTGTGGGGTACAAATCAACCCTTCTCTCACGACCCCACACTTGTGGTTACATGATCATAGGTGTCCTTTTTGGTTTGCTTAAAAAATAGAGGGCCCTGGTTTAGATGGGGTTTATTCCATTTACTTTTCCAAAAGGCCACCTATGTACATGATACTGCCAAGTGACGTGCGACGTACTTTCCTGTGCCGGATGATGTTTGGACTTACCTCTCAAAAGGGAATCGACGACCATGGTGTTCTAAAAATGCGTGATTGCTAATACGGAACCCTTGTTGAAGGTTAAATGAAAAGACGCATGGTTGAATATGCTTGGAATGGGAACTCTGCCATCCCACGGCTTCACCCCTTGACCGAGCCGAGGAACCAGTATACGATTGTCCGAAAGAAACTTTTCGGATACGCTGCTGCGTCATCTACTTCTACCTGGAAGATGGAACCATAATGGCGCGCGATCGATTTGATGGGTTGGTCGGGTGATCCAGCAAAGCGATGAAGTGATGAAGACATGACAGGCATGAACCTAAAGGAGTATTTGGCGCCCATCCGCAAACTGGCTGATTTGGGGGGAACCCTTTGAGAGGGAATCTGGGAGTCACTCTGCAAGCTGGGAATGGATGAGGGTTTTGCGACGTTTGTGAGCCAGATTCCATGGATGGGATTGCCAGGTGTCTGAGCCCAAGCTAGAGAACTCCGGCATGCCACAAGGCG